ACATGCGCGGTGCGCGCCGAGCGGAGGCCCTTTCCTGTCTGAGCGAGGCGAGCAGAGACACCGCGGAGACAAGTAGGTGGAAAAAAAATCACCAAATTCGGCTCGAAAACCCCCCAGAACCGGACTCCACCGCCCGCTCGGGTCCGTAAGAGTGTCCTGCGCCTGTGGACGCCGGGCTGGAGTGAAGTGGGGGGTTTAATGTGTTAAAGCGGCGGTTTATCGGTCTCGGTGTGGACCATGTGGCCGCGGCGGGCCGCGCTCGGTGAGCGGAGCAGCTCCGCCGCCGGAGCGCTGATCGCCTCGGAGGGAGACTCTCAGACTGAGTCACTCCGAGACCCTCGGCTCGGACGGAGAGACCCCTATAAACCCCCTTCGTGCTGAGGAGGCCGCGTGCAGGCCCGCCGTGTCTGGCGGCCGCCTGAGAGCGGAGACGGAGGCTAAAGCTAAAGCTAACCGCTCCGAGTTCAGCTTCTCCCGGTTCGGCCAACACCGAAAAACGGGCGCGCTGTAAATACAGGTTCTGATTTTAAAGAACCCAAACAGCGTAGAACTTACTCAGAGGTTAAGATCTGCTTTTCAGAAGCTGTGCGTATTATCTGCGTTCTTAAAAGTGTGGTTCTTTAAGGTTCCTCATGGTTCCGTTTAGAACCATGAGTTCTGTATGGAACCCCTTTGAATGCTTAGGTGGTTCTTAAGCTCCGTTCTTAGAAAAGATGATTCAAGGGCTTTTTGGTAAAGGCAGTGGTTCTGTTTAGAACCCTTTGGTTCTTCAGATTGATGGAGAATGTGTTGTAAGTTAGCCATCTTACAAGCTTGACTTGGTATCGACAGGAGAACCTTTGTTGGTGCTGTTTAGAACCAGTTTCACAAAAGGTTTTATTTAGAACCACATACAATATTCTCCATCAGTCTGAGGAACTCTATAGGCATGAAATCGTTCTGTGTAGAACTCATGGTTCTAAGTAGAACCTTTGCCTGTACTGAAGAGCCATTGAACAATGTGTAGTAGTTCTGGTTGCTGATGTGACCGTGTTGAGTCTTCTAGTGAATAAAGCTGCTCTTTTCCTCTCGTGTGAACGTTTGTTTTGTGCTTATCAGCCTTTTAATCATCCACATATTAAAGATGACTAAAAAGCTTTGTAAGCTTGGCTGAAACAGTGTTAAAGTAGTTTAAATAGGACAGGTGAAGTACAGTAGTGAGGATCACAGGTGAAGAATAAAGAACTTGCGTTGAGGAGATCTAGATAATTCACATGGATGTAAACTTCTCTCACCCGTTTACGCTTTACTAAGTTGATTTTCTACAGATATGCTCGATTTATCCCACTTTGCGAAGTTCGTCTGCTTCTCAGACAGGGATTAAGCCTAGTCCTGGACTACACAGCGGTCTGAATGAAGTCTCCATTGAGAGTAAAGTCTAATCCAGGACTAGTCTTAATCCCTGTCTGACTAACTGGCCTTAATGTCTCCTTTAGGGTTGTTGAAGGGCGACTAACTCTTGTGCCTAATGTGACTGTTAACTGACTGAGTTAGTACTGTTTGTTCATTGTTGGAGTTAATAGTCGTTTAAGGGTTTGTTTCCCAGACAGGGGTTAAGCCTAGTCCTGAGCTACATGCATTTCTGAATGGAGATCCAGGACTAGGCCTAATCCCCCCTTCTGGGAAACGGACCCTAGAAATTCAGAACGTGTTGGGATCTCTGAGTGAGGGTGGCTTGGAGGGAAAGAGTACTTCAGGTCCCAGATCCATGTTCTGATGCTCTCCTCCTTGTTGTGGTACTGATTTTGGTGACGCTCTCATTCCAGGATGACAGAGTGGGAGACCGCACCAGCTGTGGCTGAGACCCCCGAGATCAAGCTGTTCGGGAAGTGGAGCACGGATGATGTTCAGATCAATGACATCTCCCTCCAGGTGAGCCACGTTTGAGGAAAGGTTCACCTTTTCCCACTAAACTGAATATGTCTGAAGATCGCCTCTTCAGTTTTGCACGGGAAGAAGAGCCTTTAATTATACTAGTATTATAGCTTCAGCCAAAAACTGAAGATCAGCAAGTGAGTCCTGGCTGGTCTACCACATTCTGTAGTAAGGAGGGAACTTGTGTGGTAGATTTTTCAGCAAACTCTTCCTTTTAAAACAATAAATTTGATCTTTTATTTGATCTTTTACCCTTTTGTGTGGTGTTCAGGTATGTGGGACCCATATTCAGTGGTTACCAAAAGAAAAAATGCGGTGATTTTTTTTTTTTAAATTATTATTATTATATCCTCAGATTCTTGTTCTTTGCCCATTTTCTGTGACGAACATATAAAATAACCTATTTTCAGTGTCTTCACTCTGTTCACCCCCCACACATTTATTACACGGGTGGTGTTGGGTGAACCTGCAGGGAATAACAGAGTGGAGGTGCTGTGTCCTTCACTCTCTTCTCCCCCTACATAGCCTGCTGTTAGTGTATGTGTTTGTATATATGTGTGTGTGTGAGAGGGTGGACAACATGGACAGGCTGCTGACTGGCTACAGCTGCTAAAGGAGAACCCTACGCTGGCCACTTTTGATATTATAAACATCTGATAATTTTACTAATTGTATAATGCGGTGGGTCCACCAGACCACTGAGTAACCTCAACACCACACAAGGGTTAAAGACGTTCAGCTGTCAGTTTAACGTTCCTTAGTTGTATAAATCTCCCTTAAAAGCTGCTTATGTTGAAGCCTCGTTTGTGAAACTACTCACTGAAGCGAGACTAGAGTCACATCCTGATACTCCTCGTTGTCTTGGTGTGCTAGAGTCCTCGCAGAGCAAACCTCTCTGCTTATTCATTGGCTGCCGCTTTCCATTGCTCAGCCAATCACCAGCTCTGAAACATCTCCTATAAAGACTCTCTGTAGGTAAAACCCAGTGCTGTAGGTAGAGCTGTATGGTGCTGATCGCTGTTAATGTATAGTGATCTGTTGTAAATATGTAGTAAATATGAGATAGTTAAGCTTTTAACAATATATTCGACAGATTGAGTGTGCCTTTTACTCATGTTATCTAGAAACTTGCAGTTCTAGATACCATGAGTAAAACCATGAGCACTCCTGTACATGTTCTTTACTGGGTGATCCGCATCGTTTTGAAAAAAATCCATAAAAATGAATCAGAGCTTCTGATCTGGAAATGCAGTTTCTGGCTGGTTAATGTTTTATTGCTCTTCAGTGTAATTTTACCCTCATCCCTGCTGGTACAGCAGCTCTAAGTCTGCGTTTTTCTCTCCTCCGTTCAGGACTACATTGCCGTGAAGGAGAAGTACGCCAAGTACCTCCCCCACTCCGGAGGGCGCTATGCGGCCAAGCGCTTCCGTAAAGCTCAGTGCCCCATCGTGGAGCGCTTGACCAACTCCATGATGATGCACGGACGCAACAACGGCAAGAAGCTGATGACCGTGCGCATCGTGAAGCACGCCTTTGAAATCATCCACCTGCTGACCGGCGAGGTGAGGATGTCCCAGACCAACAGAAAGAGAGAGAGAGAGAGGCTGAACTGCAGACCAGATTGTCTAATATTTATTGTTATTGTTATCATGGTTGTCATAATTATTGGTTGAAGTAGATTTTAAAGAATAGACGAGAATTTCCTACTCTAGAAGTTTGTCTGTTGTACTTAGTTGGCAGCATAATTCACATTTTAAGTTCTTCTGGTATCTCGGAGTGAAAATATATATGCATAAAATATTTATAAATATATGAATGTGTCTCAGACATTCAGAGACCCCCAGTTGTTTTCTGGTCAGCTGTATTTCTGGATGTCCAGAGAGCGAGACTAGAGTCACATCCTGATACTCCTCGTTGTCTTGGTGTGCTAGAGTCCTCGCAGAGCAAACCTCTCTGCTTATTCACTGGCTGCTGCTTTCCATTGCTCAGCCAATCACCAGCTCTGAAACAGATCTTGGTATTCAAATGCTATAGCAGGTTTTTGTATATGTACTGAGATGTTTGATGACTTTGAAATCAGATTGATTTGACAGAAAAATAAGTCTCAGTGCAAAATAGTGGGTTTAAACTGAGCATTAATACAGAAATAAACAGTGATTTGGTTCCAAAGCTTTTACTTTATTGCTTCAAGGTTGTTTGTTCAATCAGCTATTCATGCCTGGGAGTCAGAGTGTGTCTCTCTCTCTGGGTGCGTAGAATGGTCCTCCCAAAAAAAATAAATAAAGGGTAAAAAACAAAAGAAATATTTCCACCCTTACCTGTCCTACTGAGGTTTAAGAAACCTTTCTAGTAGGTGACGTTAGAAATGCAACCCCTGAATTTCCTTTTGTGTTAAATGAGGTGTTGATTTATCTGATCTGTCCGGTTTGTCATCATTTGTTCGTCCTGTTTTTCTTCCAGAACCCCCTGCAGGTGCTGGTGAACGCCATCATCAACAGCGGCCCCCGTGAAGACTCCACCCGTATCGGCCGTGCTGGTACAGTCAGGAGACAGGCTGTGGACGTGTCTCCTCTCCGCAGGGTCAACCAGGTACGTCGGGCATGGTGACCTTAGGCTCGTACGACTGCTGCAGAGTGTCCTTCACTATTGATCAGTGCTTTCCTAAAGAGATTATACAAGCTGTGTGTCTCCATCTCTCACAGTTAAACAGCTGCGTTAGAAATAGATTCATCTTAAAGCAGCTCAGTCCGTTCGTCCACATGTTGCTTCCCCACAGCACCTTCTGCAATTTTACCTCATGTAAACAAAAAAAGCGTTTTTTAGGAGCCGTTTTAAGTTTAGTTTTTAAAATACCTCATTATTTTGAAGATGACTGATTAGTTAAAACACCATAATTCACCTGGAGTGAAAACTAGAAAAATTCAACCTCTGTCCTGATCATCTGGACTCTGGGTGTTTCAGAAAGCAGTAGCTCTCCTGTGTGGCCAGATTTCTGAGCACTATTTTGCTGTGAACAAAGAAAAAAAGGATGGAACAGTTCTGGAAAGTTAACGTCTGAGGGTGCCTGGATACTTTCGGACATGCGATGCGAGACCAGCGTCACATCCCGACATTCCTCGTTGTCCTGATGTGCTATAGGTCTCGCAGAGTAATCTTTCTTTGTTAGTTCATTGGCTGCTGCTTTCCATTGCTCAGCCAATCACAAGCTCAGGAACAGCAGCCCCGGCGCTCAGTCATTGTCACTCACAGCATCACAGGGCTATCTACTCAGAGACCTGCTGAGTTTGAAACTCTTAAATATTAAATCGATTAATGATAATAGTAATAGACTAGTTATAGCAGCTTTCATACATTTTAAAGGACCCGTATCACAGAAAACCAAATTGTGCCACGTTTTATAAAAGTAATGTTTATTTACTACGTTAACAAGCTTTGGAATCCGTACAGCCCACTTTTGGAAATTAAGCTGCAAAAATGTCCCGTTTTCAGTCAACTGTATTTGTGATGTCATGAAAATCACACTTGCATATATCCGCCTTTTCAGCCTGCAGCAGTTTAGCTCCGCCCACCCATGCTGAAGTTGAGTGTTTTTAGCTCGTACTGCTGTTTGAATGAGGCACAATACAGGGCAGCCAATCAGAACAGAGGTCACTGTTGCAGTCAGAACAAAATCCCTTAGTTTATCTTTCTTTACTTATACAGCTTTTCTCACACTACGATTTTTCACCACAGTCTTTGTACCAGTGTTGTCCCAGTTGTTTGTTAGTTCTGCAGATCATTTAAACAGCTTTCCAGTTTGTTGATGTCATTTAAAAACTGAAGCAGATCCTGTCATGTAAACAGTGTTGTATGTAGCAGTTTATTGTTCACTCAGGAGCTGTTAAGACTTCTTTTGCTAATCGACTTTATTTTTTGGTCAGGCTATCTGGCTGCTGTGCACAGGAGCGAGAGAGGCCGCCTTCAGGAACATTAAGACCATTGCTGAGTGCTTGGCTGACGAGCTCATCAACGCTGCCAAGGTAACTAACTGGACTACAGCTCTAATAACAATCGCGGTCCCACGTCTCTGTATAGTTCATTAAATATCAGTACAGTGACTCAAACCTCACAGTCACAAAAATGTCTATCTGATTTCAGCTAATATTTAAAGTGGTTGTGCGTTTTAAGGAATCTGATACTCCTGGACATGAGCTCAGTGGGGTTTCTCAGTCCACGTGTAGTTAGAAGAGCTGCTTGCTAAGCAGTAAATTCTTGTGCACTATTTGGAGTCGAATTAATTCCCATATAAATACTTAGCTGTGTTTATAAGAAAACTGCCGCTAGAAGTCGGAGTTATACATCACATGCTAGGTTTAAGAGATGGTAGAGCTGCTTTTCATGTATGTAGAAAGAAATCTGAGTAACTCATGTAGAACCAGAGATTTCTCATTCACATCAATAACATGCATGTTGTGCATGTGTAACACAATACTGATTTTCTGCAGTAGTTGGATCATAACTGAAGGCCCTAAATAGCGACAACATAGCTTCAGAACAATTATAAGCCACGAATCTGTTTCCATGCAGAGCTAAATGATCTTTAGTTTCAGAAGGCCAGACACGATCCTGTAATGAGTGAATACGTCTGGGGGCAACATGTTTAACTTTTGGTGCTGGTTTTTGGCAAAATCTGCCATTAATAGAGGTGCACCACCTCTAAACCCCACCCCTAAATTCCTCTAGTCCATGTTCTTTTAACAGGAGTAAATTCAATAACATGAGCAAAACTAGCGCTAGTGAAGCACTATTGTTAGTTAATGGAACTTTTTCCATTGAAGGAGGTGATGTTTATGTCTACTGCTGGGTATGTGCTCTCTGCCCACACAAGGTACATCTACAAACCCATTATTTATTTATTTTTAAGTTACATCCATGGCCTAACAACAGGCTTGTCTGTTGGACAGTGTTGCGCAGACCAGCACCCCCTACTTTGAGCTCCACCTTTACAAGGTGTCGGATTTGTCTGAAATCTCACTCCCATTTGTTTCTACCCTAACAAGTCTTCGTTCCAACCAACATTTAGCCTCATCTTTGTCTTGGTTGTCCAGCGTCTGGACCCGCGAAACGAATTGACCTTCACTGAGCCAGTTCAGTGTCAGCTTGGCGTAGTTAGAGCCAGACTTGTTGCCCATTTGTGCGTCCACAGGCCGTCTTGTCCAGCTCTGTATTTGGCCGGAGTCTGACTGGAAGTTTTCCAGAGAGCGAGACTAGAGTCACATCCTGATACTCCTCGTTGTCTTGGTGTGCTAGAGTCCTCGCAGAGCAAACCTCTCTGCTTATTCATTGGCTGCTGCTTTCCATTGCGCAGCCAATCACCAGCTCTGAAACATCTTCACTAAAGATTTTAGTGCTTACTAAATGAAGATGAGCACTGCCAGCTGTTGGATGTTCATCGTTTTGCTTGTGTTTTTTTCTTCAGGGTTCGTCAAACTCCTACGCCATCAAGAAGAAGGACGAGCTGGAGAGAGTGGCCAAGTCCAACCGTTAAAACGCCTGTTGCTTTCTACAAAAAGAAGAAATAAATTTGAAGAAATTTCAGTTTATTGTTGTCTTTGAGTGATTCTTAGGCCACAACAGCATTCAGTTAGATTGAAGCAAATAACAGTGCTGAAAATATAATTGACATGGGATTAAATTTACTGAGGTGTGTGATTTTATTTCCATCCAGATGGGCAGTGTCGGTTTATCAGAGACCCTCCAACCATATGTTAAACACTTCATGAGTAGCAAAACGAAAAAACGGATGCTTTTGAAGAATCACTATTTACACGTTTCACCGTTCAGACATACTGTTTAACTCAATAGACAGAGAAAATTGAGATCTTGCAGACGCATAAAGGGGTGATCATAAATGCTGCAAAGAAGTATTACATATGAACAATACCACTGAATTCTGAGAAAACGCCCCCCTCAAGAAACTCGCTCATCCTGTTGTAATTCTGTTGAGGTCTGGATGCGAAAGGTTCACAGAGGAGTGTAAAGAGACGTTTTACTGATGGCCCCTGATAAACTAATCCACTCCAAACAGGGCTTTAGGATCAGTTTCCATCAGCTCTGTACCAGAGAATGTAACTCGTGTTAAAGAACTACAAGGAAATGTGGAGCATCTTCAATGTCTAATGCTGTTTTCTCTTCATAAATCACTCCTCTTATAACTGCAGGTGAACGAGCCTCAATTGGGCCACCAATTTGGCCCAAACCCATTTCTTTTTACCCCTACCCCTTGTTTTCAAGTGTCACATTGCCCCTTTGAACTGAGTTACAAGGGGTAGTGGTGGAAATCCTCTCTATAAAATGGGACCCTCAAATAAAGAATAGCATTACTTCATTAACGGCTATTAGTGCTGCTCTGTAGGCGACCCTGCCAGTCTGCAGTAACAGCAGAGGAGGGTAAAGTTCAGCTCCTCACTGCTGGGCAATTATTTATTATCGCCCACCCCTAATTCTCCAGTGATGTGAAGCTGAAGTCAGATATTCACCAGCTTCTTCTTCAAATTTTCCCCTTCCACCTTAAATGGTGCAGCAGTTACATTCTGGCACTTAGGGCATCAGAACTGCTGGACTATTTAAGGTGGAACAGGAAAGTTAGCTAGCTAGCTGCTGAAACATTAGCATGCTATTAGCGAAAAAGACCAAAATACACTGAAACAACATTAAAGTAAGATAACAGGGTTTTTTTTTGTTTTTTTTTAAACACAGAAAAATCTCAGATTTGTGGGTTTCTTTGGTCTCTTGTTCAGCCATTCACCCTACCCCTCTATCTCAACAACAGTCGGGACACCCTACCCCTAGACGTGAACGTGCAAAATGTAGGGGTGGGGCCAAGTGTTAGGGGAGAGGGGTGAAATTATCCATAAATGGTCCATGCAAATGAACCCATGACTGCTTAAATAGGAGGTGTCCCGTTAACTGAGTGTGATCGTGGTGACAATGGCGGAACAAAAGATAACAAAAAATTGTGTGCAATAGTTTCACAGCTTTTTAGGCTTGTAATTATTTGCAACTGTTACCTGCCCATAATAATTTACTATTGAGAGTGGTGATCAAGAACTTTGGGAAGGCACAAGTAGTTTGGAGCAATAAATTTCTATACAGAAAAACAGGCTCATTATGTATCTCTCTCTCTCTCTCTCTACACACACACACACACACATATATATATATATACAAATACACATATATATATATATCAAAATGTAAGATATGTCAAAATAGATAAACGCAGACAAAACAATGCTTAGTCATGAATGGCCTTTTGTGGAGCTTAATTTGGTATCAACTGGTACACCTGAGAACGATTTGCTGCAATTCTCTATTTTACAACAGTGTCGCCAGTTCCCACTCCCTATTTATTTATTGATTGATTGATTGGCTGTACGCATGGGTCCGTAAATGTAGTCCCATCAGAGAACTCATAAACCGGCTCTGCTCCCGGTTTCCTGCCAAGCATGTCTTTATAAATCCCGGTTTCTGCGCGAGATGTTGCACACGTTCCAGACCCATTTTTGCATGTATGCACCGTTTAAAAATGGGGCGCCCAGCTTTGTTGCAGTTTTGTGAAATCTGTCAGTTCACTGGGATCTGCTGCTTTCTGGCCTGTTTCTGAACCATAGCCAGGCAAAAACACAATCGCCTGATCCATCGTATGACATTCAAATTGCATTACATTGTTAGTTCGGCAAGTGTTCCCATCGCAATTTATCACCAGTCTAATTAATCCCAAATTGTCCAAGAGGGTGAAAGGGGAATTCACAAGTTTCAGATTTCTCTGATGTAAACAGAGTCAGTCAGAGTGGTTTGGTGTGAAACGCTCTGTACTAGAGAAACTTAGGGAGTCAGATCTGTTCACAGTGATGGTGATAGGAACCAGACGTTCACCTCTAAAAGCTCCCTCACAGCAAGTTACTACATGAAGTGGTTATGAATTCACCGCCTGATGACTGAAACACTGTTTTATGGAAGCTTCGAGATTATCATCATCAGCATTCCATATATAGACACTCAGAAGACTCGTGTAGGTTCACTGGTGGTTTTAATGGTCTTTTTGGCCTTTTTGTCACTCTTAAGTATCTAATTTGGCTAATTAGCTCTCTTGCTAATGAGCTAATTACTAGATATGAAGCGATATCTGCTCACACCCTCACACAGATGTCTACAGTTATACAGGATCATGTGTTCAGTCAAACAAAGCTCTTATTTTTCTCGAATGAGTGTTAAATGTGAACAAGAACACTTGTTCTGTGGCTCCTAGCGTAAATGCTAATGTTAGCTTCGTAACTAGCTTATGTTGAACTCTACAAAGTAACAATTCTAGAACTGGCAATCAGTACATCATCAACACACCATCCTAGTTTACATTCTGGTGTTCTTATCTTCACCTTGAAGAGTAAGAATTCGCTAAATTGTCGTTAGCTTCAGCTACAAGTGCTAGCAAACATGAGGACCCCTCACTGGGGCTAATACTGCTTATAGAAGCTCTACCTGCTTTAGAAAGCTGGAAAATGCGTAAAAGACAGTAAAATCCACTGCATACTTGAGCACATTAGACATTACAGCCTCAAACACGAGAAGATTGTAGTTATTTGTGTACATCGTAAAGTGAGATGCTTCCATGGTGACTGGATGTGAGGTACAGGTACAACCAGCCATGTTTACAACCATTCAGGTTTGGTCTGTGTGTTCAAGAATCTGTTTGAATGCTACAAACTGATTGAAATCTAAATTATACGCTTGACGCAAACAAAAACGGCTTAAAACATCCTAAAACCCACTGAAAACACTGCCGTTGTTGTGGTGAGTCATTTAGAGCAAAATAGATGTGAAAAGTGAGAGTGAATGATCCCCTCTGGTGCAGTAAGTGCTATATTTTATTTGTGTCCCAATAAATAACAGCCCAGAAAGAGGATTTTAGAAATGTATTTATTTATTAAAACACACAGAAGTCTTAGGAAAAGGAATATTAGCGTTAGCGTCTGGTACAAAGTGGTGTTACAAAGGTTTGCAGTGGTCATTTAGATGGGAAAATACTTTATAATGTCGTATACAGTCTATGAAGGTTTACACTGGCTATAACAGGCTATTTAGCTAGTCATGCTAACATGCTATTGTACCGTCATTTAAACCAGACCTGAAGTCTGTGTTACTTTACAAATCTTACACAAATGTAGCTGGGAAAAAGGTAACTAGCTCCATCGACTGTACAAGCAAAGTCTAAGGTATTTAATGTACACGAGACACGGAAAAATGTGTCGGGTTCACTGAATGTTTCCCTTTATGTGTCGAACTGAATCTCGTCTGTACGGTTTGTGGTTAAACTAGCCTAAAAGCTAACGGGGCTCAGAAGCTAAACCAGGACTCGACTCGTGTTTCTGAGGGTTAATGTGAAAAATCTGAGCTTTTAGTCCACAGTTTCTAGAAATGAGCAGCTCAATTAGTGTTATTAATACTCAGGGGTCGTCTTTGGTTCTTCATGGGTTCTTCAGTAAAGGCAGTGGTTCTATGTGGAACCATTTTATGCTTAATTTTGTCTTTGCACAATGTCAAACTTGTATCAATGGCAGAATTTTCCATCAATCTGAAGAATCATCTCACCATGCAGAGAACCATTTAAGCACATAATGGTTCTATATAGATCTCATGGTTCTAAATAGAACAATTGCCTTTGCTGAAGAACCCTCAAAGAACCAGGTTTTTCATGACTTTTCCCAGTGAAAATAATATTTTGATGTTAAAATTCGAATTATTACTTGAACTGATTTTTGATAATCAATAATCCATTTTTCACTATTAATAAACCTGCCAGCTCACGTTGGAATGTTAAAATTTTACATGTTGAAATTTAATTCATGAGTAAAAATCGGTCCTCCAGCCCAAAACCACAAATTCCTATTAATGAGAATTGAATTCTGATTAACTTCAAGTCAAACTGAATTTTTTACCTTTTATTTATTAATAAATGTTGGTTCAGGTTGTATTTCTGATGTAAAGAAGCTGTAGGTTAAAAGCTGAAGTGGCTCCCTGTAGTTTTCAGATGATAAATGATGGTAAATGAGCCCCACAGTGAGAGTCATAACTGAATATGAACATAAAGCAGGGCGGATTTATGAGTAGTTGAGTTTCCTGTTGATGAGCAGGCAGAAGGAGGACAGCGCCCCCCCGAGTTTGGAGGCCTCGCTGCAGGCTGTGGGGAGGAGAGTGTAATCAGGCAGCTTCTGGAAGGCCTGGAGGAGAGAAACGGTAACACTGTTATTTATTTCATCTTATTTTGATTGATTTTGTTTATTTATTTGATTATGTGGGATTCAACTTAACATCATAAGAGATGCAACAGACATAAAGCACACAGGGCTTCTAGACAAATCTGTCGTGCAGCCCCCCCCTGTCCCTGATTAGGCTTTTAATATAGAAATAAAACAACAGAACAAACAAAACTATATATATATATATATATATATATATATATATATATATATATATATATATATATTAGTAAATATGGATCCATATGTTTGAACATATGTAAATGTAGGTTTATATACATGAATCAGTGTGAACCGATTTGTTTTCATTTAACCGTCTACTGCACACATTAGAAGAGCAATTACATTTTTTGGACCCGATTATTAAATCCAAAAACATTAAAATTAATATTAATAATGTGATCAGGGGTCCTTTTGGAATATGTTGCCTTGAGGCAACATTGTGAGACAATGGGAAGACATGATATAGAGCCATATTCCCTAAAGTGGTGAGACCTGGCTTGTGACTGGCTAAATAAATTCCACTGTCAAACAGTGTCGCTTCTAGGCAACAAACATATTTCTGCAAAATCTCATGACAAAAAAAATTATACTCAATGTTTAAAAAGAGGTTTAAAGAGATAGTATGACCAAGCACATGCCTTTTATTGACGTACTCAAACTCTTCCCTTTATTGTTAACCCTGTCGTTGTCTTTAAATATGTATAATGTTATTGTAAAGTGAGGGAAATGAGTTTGTTGCCCTGAGGCAACATCGTGCAATAGAGGGAAAAGCTTGTGTGCCTGAATTAACATTCAGGCCTCGGCTCTCGGTCACAGAGCAGAAAACAAACTACTATTGCTCAAGTGCCTGGTGTTTTCTGGATATCATGAAAAAACAATTTTTCATTTTTTATTCATTTTTTTACATTTATAAAACAGTTTGTTGCTGTATGTAAACATTGTTAGATGTCACAAAAACGCACCTATTCAGCCTACAGCAGTTTAGCCCCTCCCACTCAGACTGAAGTTATAGGGAGTGCTTCGTGAGTGGGGCAGGACACAGGGCAATCAGGACAGAGCTCATTTACATATATCAGCCTTTTAAACAGCCTGTTTAATTCTAAAAATGGTGATGTATGAATTATGACTGTTTTTAATACATAAACACAATGTTATGTTTGGACCTCAGGAGGGAAACAAAATACAGTAAAGATGTTATAGGATATGGACCCATTGTTAAAGGGGAACTCCACTGATTTTTCAAAATTTAAACCGTCAAGATGGGAACAGAGTCGTTCAGAGTGGTTTGGTGTGAAATGCTCTGATCTAGAGAAACTTACCGAGTCAGAACTGTTCACAGTGGTGGTGATAGGAACCAGACGTCCACCTCTAAAAGCTCCCTCACAGAAGCATAAAGTGGTTATGAATACGCTGCTTTATGGTAGAGGTTTGACTTAAAATGTATTTAAATCCATTTATTTTAATCCATTCTTGGTGGAGGGATACATGCACTGCATTGTGAGGCAAAATAGTCCCCAAAGAAAACTTATTATTTCAGATTTTCCATTTTTTTTATCAACAACATTCCATATAAAATCTCAGACTCGTGTAGGTTCACTGGTGGTTTTGGACAGTAAATAAAATGGCTGTATGTGTGTTGTAGTCATGGTGACCCCTGGTTCCTATCACCACCACTGTAAAGACATCTGAGTCTGTACGTTTCTCTACAGTGAACAATTTCACACCAAACCACTTTGAATGACTCTGTTTACATATCAAGGACAGAATTATGCAGAAAATTTGGTGGAATCGTGGAACTCCCAGTTAAATGAATGGAGACTATAAAACCGCATTTCTGTCTTATTCCACAAGGCGGTTCTTTTTGGTAAGACCGACCTTCACAGATTTGCCTTACTGCTACTATTGAAGTACTTGCAAGCACACTGTTTTTGTAGCACACACAAATTCTATAATAACAATAATAATAATAATAATAATAATAATAACAACAACAACAATAATAATAATAATAATATAATGTACTGCTATGTTTACAGCGCTGTTTGATGGTTTTTGCTGTCACTGTATTAAAAAAAGGCCCACCAGCTGCTCCCACCACTGTCTGCATCACAAACGTTCAGTTTAATAAATCGTCCCAAAGCAGAAGAAACTCATAAGGCTTTAAACGAACGTCAGTGACGGTCTCCTCTAAACGATCTGCTCCATTTAATGCCCCACTTCTCCTCTCCTTTTCCTCCTCTCTGCTGAACGTTTGTCTGAAACACCATTCTCTGCTCTTTGTTTCTCTTCTGTCTGTGCCGTAATTAGCAGCTCTTTGAATCGGTACGTTCCTCTAATTAAGGTTTGGAAAGCCAGAAACGTGGAGATTGTATGAATAATTAATTGATTGGAGTTCATTAGTGAGACTGATAACTTCCACACTCATTAATAAACCAGTGCAGAGGTATGAATGCAGAGTAGACGCACAGAAGGAGACGACTCACGCAGAACCAGGCCAGGTCTTTCATTATGTATTATTATTATTATTATTATTATTATTACTAGCATTTGTGACAGTCATTATATAGCAAAATATTTTATTTACACAGTTTAGGTGTTTATTTATATTCAGTTTTGCTTTATTGTGTTAACCTTAGCATTCATGAACCTTTTCAACTCCTTGGGACCACCAGTGGTTCCAAAACGCACTTAGTCATATTCTTCATAACTTTCATATTTCATAAGCTACATTCAGAAGGTGGGTGTCGTATGAGAGCTGCAACTGTCTTCTTTCCAGTCAAATAGATGGGTGATGTCATTTTAAACCCATATAGTAAAAGAAGCTGAACTCACAATTTTTTTTTTCTACTGAAAGTCGACCCACAAATCTGGGCTATTAAACTATAAACAGATGGCGTATCTTCAGTGATCTGCTCTGTACAAATTATTTTTATAAAATAACACAAAGAGCGTCTCAGATTTTTGGCTTTCAGCCGTAAATTGTAAGCATATAGCAATGTGTGTGATCATAAACACATGTTCTGTTAATCTGAGGGGAACTTTTACAAAAAAAAAATAAAAAAAATAAAAATTTACATTTATTTCATGCAGTTACTGAATAATCTGCCTTACGATTTGGTCATGTAAATTCAGATGGAACAACCAAAATATACCCTGGTGAATAAGAGGTTAAAGCGCCCAAATCCTCCTTTTTCCTTGTATTTTATCCCCCACTCCAATATCCAGTTATGACATTTAGTCATAATTCATTTTAACATGATCATTTTCAAACCTCTCTTTGTCCCTCAGAATTAAACAGGCTGTTTTATTTGCTGCGACTTTAATACTAATGTATGTAAATGAGCTTTGTTTGGATTGGCTGCCCTCATTCAGAAAGCAGGGCTGAAACACTCCTTATAATTCAGTGTGAGTGGGCAGAGCTAAACTGCTGTGGGCTGAATAGGTGGATATATGTGCATGTGTTGGTTTTTATGACATCACGAAAGCAGCTTGTTAAAAACAAGCTATTTTTCAAGCTTGGTTTCCATATATGGACTGTATGTTTTGAAACATTACAATCTTATATTAGATTTTCCATGATCTTGGCCCTTTAAACTCGTTTAGTATTCATTTACTCACTTAGGGCCCTAAAATGTTCAGAAACAGCTTTGGCTTTTTTTCTGATTTGCCACGACACACACTCACCCGGCCGCTTATTTAAATCAAGTTATCAGTTTTACCAGTAGGGGGCGACACAGAGTTATGACTGTACTGCTTTGCTTGTTCCTGCTCCTCCCTCTGAGGCCGAGGGACGGGGTTGAGAGGGGGATTTGGAGCACAGCCGAGAGTGCCGGGTGTGTTACAGAGAGGATTTACTGTGGGTCCTTCTTTTGTCATGTGAATGTAAACCAAGAATTGTTTACATTGTTCGAAGGTCAATAACAATCAGAGAGAAACAGACTGAGACCCACTGAGGCCTTTCAGTTTACAAGAGTAACACTGCCCCCCCTCACTGGCCACTTTATTAGAAACACCTAACTTTTACTTCCACTCACTGGCCACTTTATTAGAAACACCTACCTTGTACTTCCACTCACTGGCCACTTTATTAGAAACACCTACCTTGTACTTCCACTCACTGGCCACTTTATTAGAAACACCTACCTTGTTCTTCCACTCACAGGCCACTTTATTAGAAACACCTACCTTGTACTTTCATTTACTGGCCACTTCATTAGAAATACCTACCTTGTTTTTTCACTCATTGGCCACTTTATCAGAAACATCCATATATATGCATTTCTGTATAGTGTTTTTCGATATTTTGACGGAAGATTAAGTTTTGTTTTTCTTATAAAGTGGATGGTGAGTCGTGGCAGTGATGGCAGCACTTCAGAGATCAGAGAAGCTCTTAGATTTTTACAGAATGTAACATTTGAAACTGTAAAAGTGTCAGACTGGACGTGAGATTGGACACTGCGGAGAAGGGAACTCACAGGTATACTGTTGGGACACTCATCGACGGTGGGGTGGAGGAGGTAGTCCACTTTAGCCGGACCCCGCACGTACACACAGTTAGCGGCTACGTCCTCCGCCACGGTTAAAACATCATAGTGGTGGTCCGTCAGCTGCTCCATCACCTACAGCAACACAGCAGTACAGCACAGTTATTAAGTGTAAGTGTACACAGTATAGTGGAGATCACCAGCCCTGCTCCTGGAGATGTACAGTGCAAAACTCAGAGACCACCCTACATTTATTTAATTTCCAATCATAACAGCCATTAAGTGCAGCTACAGAGAAAATGGGGCTCCTAACAACCACCTGGAAGACCTGGAAAACACCAACGCTGTCCCCATCAGATAAACAGCACTTAAAGCTTTCATCTTTGAGAGAGAGGAGAAAATCAAGCTGCTTCAGATCTGAAAACATCCACAGGTGTTTCTGTCCATCCTTCCACTGTGAGAAGACGACTCAGCGCTGTGGGTCTGAAAGGATGTGTAGCTGTCAAGAAGAACCTCACTGAGAAAAGGAGACGGACACATCAAACAAAGAAGCTGAACGATGGACTGACCACCCCAGAGTCCAGACCTCAACACCACCGAATGGGTTTGATTACTTCAGAAAATGATCAACCAGCTTCTAAGACTGAACTTTGGAGGTGTGTCTGCAGGTTTCTTAGAGAAACTAAAAGTGAGTCTTCTGAAAAGAATGGAAGCTGGAATAAAGGTAAAGTGTGACACAATAAAGACGTTTTTGAAGCTTCTGCGTAATTTTCTATTAAATAGATCCCTGCAGACTTCAGCTCTGCATTTGATTCATCTCTTTATTGTCTACAGAAGTCTTTAATTAGCTGAATGAGGTGGGTTTGTTCTGGTTGGAGGTGAAACCTGCAGGAAGGTAGATCTCCATGAGGAGGACTGGTGACCCATTGCAATATAATAAGCCTCTAAACAATGTCTCACAGCAATGGTCAAAGCCAGACTACAGCATTGTACTGATTAATCATTCAGATCAATATAATTTTATTACACTTTCTACAAATATGATTGTACAAAACCAGCTTACCTAGAAATGCAGGTGCTTTAGCACCCCAATGATCAAGCTGTGGGAGACAGTAGGGTGTAAATCTCTGACCAATCCTGGTCCTGTAGATCAACCACCCTAGAGAGTTTAGCTCCAACTATAATCTAATACACCTGATCCAGGAAATGCAGGCCTTCAAGATCATCTGAGTATTAGAGCCAGGTATGATGGAGCTGAGCTCTCCAGGGTGGTAGATCTCCAGGAGCAGGATTGAGCACCTCTGCAGTAGTGGAGTATAACTTTAATTTCACATTTAAAATGACCACAAAGTATCTTGTTGAATATTATTGTAAACGCTTATTATGAATTCCCACTATTCCAAAATCAGTGCAGTTGAATCACCACATTCAGATCCATTCAGATTTTGCAACAGTGAACTCCCCAAGAGCACGAGGAAGAACCTCTGAGAGGAACCAAGACTCAAAAAGAGAAACTTCCTAAGAACATGAGGAAGAACCACTGAGAGGAACCAAGACTCAAAAGGAGTAACTCCCTAAGAACACGAGGAATAACCACAGGGAGAAACCAAGACCCTAAAGGACAAACTCCATAAGAGCATAAGGAAGAACCACTGAGAGGAAACCAAGACTCAAAAGGAGAACCTCTCTAAGAGCATGAGGAAGAACCACTGAGAGGATCCAAGACTCAAAAGGAGAAGAGGGGAACTCGTCCTCCTTTGGGCTGCACTGTACAGTGGCGTTGAGAAATCTGGTATGTGGTAATCTTTCATTTTTGTCCCAAATGTTTCTGCATGGTTTCTGCAGGACTTGGATGGAGAAGCACTGGTGTACAGACAGAGCCAGGCTGCCTCCAGACTGACTGTTCCTGAAGGTAATGAGGTTACAACTGGATCACAGCACCTCATGGGCACCAGCAGTATCATGTTACCTCCTAATGGCCGTCTACAAGGGAAACTACTGTACTCCCTTCTAGGTGGAGGGTGGACAACAGGGTCAGCAGTGAACTCGAGATGCAACAGACGTCCACTGTGAGGCTTTGAGAAGAGGGTATCCAACACTGCTCTGATGGATCTTAATACAACAAACCTATTATGTATTTAATTTCTAGTCACAAGTTAGTTATTTTTTAGTGTCAAAGAAGAAAATATATTTAACAGAAAATGACACAGAAGCCTTACAACTAAATATAATATCGTATTTAGTGAGTCACTCTTTCCCTTTATTCCAGCTTCCATCCTTTTCAGGAGACTCACTTTCAGTTTCTCTCAGAAACCTGCAGGGACATTTTCCACACCTCCAAAGTTCAGTCTTAGAAGCTGGTTGATCATTTTCTGAAGTAATCAAACCCATTGAGTGGTGTTGAGGTCTTGACTCTGGGGTGGTCAGTCCATTGTTCAGCTTCTTTGTTTGATGTGTCTCCTTTTCTCAGTGAGGTTCTTCTTAGCAGCTACACATCCTTTCAGACCCACAGCGCTGAGTCGTCTTCTCACAGTGGAAGGATGGACAGGAACACTAGAAACAGTGCTAGTATGTGTAATAGATTTAAATATGTAAGTAATATTATTTGTGTTTGTGTTCGATTTTTTGCTTTTGGTGAGAACAGGCTGGTCAGTCTCTCACCCGCTGGGTTTTCTTGGCCCCCTCGCTGTTACTGAAGATGATGGTTTCAGGACCTCCCATGGAGCAGACGTTCTTCAGGCGAGAACCCCCACACACAGGTACTGTGGACACAGCAAAGTCCTGACGACACAAACAGGGAGGATAGAATTCAGCCATCATTGTTTCTGCTCTAGATTTTATCATGAAAACATAGTTTCTCAAGAAAACTAAACGTCTTTAAAAGCTAGAGATGATGACGACAGGCAGGGCTGTACGATATATTGTCATCATCACAATGCTGACTTTTGCCGTGCTGATACTGCAGAAGGCTGCAGTTTGCAAATGAGCCTCTAATCAGCCTTGTTTGTCTCGGTGAGCTGTGAGAATCCGGCCAACCTCAGATGTTCCACATTAGTGTCTATGGGTGAGAAATAACACTAAGTCATTAGAGGAAACGTCGTCACACTGTCTGCATAGGTTCCACAGAGAGAGTGCCGAAGGAGCTAGGTCCTCTCTCTGCACTCTCGTTGTGGAACTTATGGTCACACGTTATGGTCACAGTGTGCAGATTAAATGAATAAACACTCCACACATCAAGCTTCTCTTCAGACTTATATGATGCAACACATAATATGAATGAATGTCCATTCAGGTTTATTAGTGATTGCGCATTGAAGAACATAGCAACCACCTGGGATACCATAGCAAGCCCCTAACAACCAGGATACCATACCAAATGCCTAGCAACCACCTGGTATACTATTGCAACCACCTTGCAACACCTTAGCAACCTTCTGTGATACCATAACAAAGGCCTAGCAACAACTTAGCACCCACCTGGGATTCCATAGCAAGCGCTTAGCAATCACCTGGGATACCATGCCAAACACCTAGCAACACCATAGCAATCACCTGGTATACCATTGCAGCCACCTTGCAACACCTCAGCAACCACCTGGGATACTATAGCCACCGCCTAGGAACACTTTAGCAACCACCTGGGATACCATAACAACCGCCTAGCAACACCTCAGCAACTACCTAGCAACACCCTAGCCATCACCGGGGATACCGTAGCAACCTCCTAGCAACGCCCTAGCAACCACCTGGGTTACCATAGCAACTGCCTAGGGACACCTTAGCAACCACCTGGGATACCAAAACAACCGCCTAGCAACACCTTAGCAACTTTCTGTGATACCATAGCAACCACCTGGCAACACTTTCAGCAACCATCTTGGATACCATAGTAACCTCCTAGCAACACCTCAGCAACCATCTGGAATTCCACAGCAACTACCTATCACACCCTAGCAACCGTATAAAAATACCCTGGCAACCACCTGGCAACACCTTACCAACCGTTCTCTGCGTCACTCAGGAAATGCACTGTTCTAGTTATTGGTGTCATTATTTTCTTCTTTTTTATTTTTTTTTATTATGCTTTCATTATTTCTCTTTTCTACTTATCATTTTAGCATTTCCTCATTGGGAGGGTCAGGTTTTGGGCAGGGTTTGTTGCTTCGCTGTTAGGATACACTGCAGCTCCACCTCTACCTGAAATGTGTCACATCGTATCTGCACTGCTATGGCAAAACTGCAAACTGAATGACAATAATACAGTAATAGGAAAAGAGGACAAAAAATACACATATCATCACTGTCGCACGTCCACAATCCCCAAAATGATAACTTTACAGAACATTCTTAACTTTGAATTGAAGATTTTTTTCCAGTAATTCAGAGTATCTGTATTGGTCCATTCATCATGATTTTTTTATTTAATAAACAATGTGAGAAGATCAGCTTTCGCCTTTACATTGTGTGAAAACATCACGACGAAAGGACCAATAAAAATGCAGACGTTTTTGCCCTCTCCTGTCAAAGTCACTGTTGTTCAAAAATCACTTGGAGTTATATTGGAGATATAGTAGGAACTATACATCTTCGATATTGATCATTCAACTGACTTGCTTCAACCAACAACAACTTGAGGTTCATCCGAACTGTCCGGTAGGTTGAGGGACCTGCAGTCTGCAAACTGTATTTGAATATCCAAATCTGCTGAGGCCAAATCTCCAACTGCAGGAGCGTTTCATTCAAAGCAGGACCTGATTTAAATTCTGAAAGCCCAGTCTAACGCTGGCTGCATGGTTTGGACAGAGTGAAGAGCTGTGCATGTTTGACAAGTGAAAATGTGACAATACCTGTGATATGTTTACAATACAAATGAGAATGTTCACTCTGTTTGCTATAATATCTAATGAGGCTATAAGGCTGCAAGGCTGTGAGGATGCAGGATTTTAAGGCTGTGAGGCTGTGAAGCTGCAAATCTGCGAGGCTTTAAGGTTGTTACACTGTGTGGCTGTGAGACTGAAGGACTGTAAAGCTGTAAGGCTGTGAGATTGTATGGCTGCGAGGCTGTATGGCTGTAAGGCTGTGAGACTATAAGGCTGTGAGACTGTAAGGCTGTAAGGCTATAAGGCTGCAAGGCTGTGAGGATGCAGGATTTTAAGGCTGTGAGGCTGTGAAGCTGCAAATCTGCAAGGCTTTAAGGCTGTTAGACTGTGTGGCTGTGAGACTGAAGGACTGTAAAGCTGTAAGGCTGTGAGACTGTATGGCTGCGAGGCTGTATGGCTGTAAGGCTGTGAGACTAAGGCTGTGAGACTGTAGGCTGTAAGGCTATAAGGCTGCAAGGCTGTGAGGATGCAGGATTTTAAGGCTGTGAGGCTGTGAAGCTGCAAATCTGCAAGGCTTTAAGGTTGTTACACTGTGTGGCTGTGAGACTGAAGGACTGTAAAGCTGTAAGGCTGTGAGACTGTATGGCTGCGAGGCTGTATGGCTGTAGGCTGTGAGACTATAAGGCTGTGAGACTGTAAGGCTGTAGGCTATAAGGCTGCAAGGCTGTGAGGATGCAGGATTTTAAGGCTGTGAGGCTGTGAAGCTGCAAATCTGCAAGGCTTTAAGGCTGTTAGACTATGTGGCTGTGAGACTGAGGGACTGTAAAGCTGTAAGTCTGTGAGACTGTAAGGCTGTGAGACTATATGGCTATAAAGCTGTGAGTGTATGGCTGTGAGGCTATAAGGCTGTGAGGCTGTGAAGCTGCAAATCTGCAAGGCTTTAAGGCTGTTAGACTGTGTGGCTGTGAGACTGTATGGCTGTAAGGCTGTGAGACTGTATGGCTGTGAGACTGTATGGCCGTAAGGCTGTGAGACTGTATGGCTGTGAGACTGTATGGCTGTGAGGCTATAAGGCTGCAAGGCTGTGAGGATGTGAGATTTTAACACTGTGAGGCTGTGAAGCTGCAAATCTGCAAGGCTATGAAGCTGTTGCTGTAAGGCTATGAGACTGTAAAGCTGTAAGGCTGCAAGACTGTTAGGCTGTGAGACTGTGCAGCTGTAAGACTGAGAGACTGTAGGGTGCAAAAAAAAGTACTGTTACAGAGAAAAGTGTACTCAAGTACTGTACTGTAATATGTTACTTTTACCTGTGAATTAAAAATTACGCTTTTAAAAATAAAGGTGACTAAAGGGCTCTTTGAGCAATGCCATATAAGAACCCTTATGGCTTCTTTAAGAGGAATTCCACCAACTTTTCAAACTTTTTGCATAATTCAGTGGATGAGATGTGAACAAAGTCATTCAGAGTGGTTTGGTGTGAAAGGGTTCATTTATGGAGAAACCGTCCATGAATCGGATGGATATGTAAAAGTGCATTTTTGGCCAAAATCCTATCAAATCTATCATAAAACAGTGCCTCAGACATGAGGCAGAGTATTCATAGCCTTTCCATGTAGTAACTTTCTGTGAGGGAGCTTTTAGAGATGGACATTTGGTTCCCATCACCACCATTAGCTTCATCTATCAGAACAGAAGCTCCTCACGGTTCTTACCCTGAACGTATCAGCCAGCACCTCAGCCCCGCGGTGGTTGGTATGTTTGGAGATTCCCACAAAAAACTCCCTCCCGGTGAAGAGAACGTCACTGCCCTCCAGAGTGGCCCCTCCTGACCCCCCTTCCTCCACCCCCATCTCCACCACCGTCAGGTTCAGCTCGTTCATAACCCGCCTCACTGCCTCCGCCTGGACAACACGTACATATACAGAACACACGGGATCAATGATTAAATCTGCGGACATGCATTTATATTAATCACATTAGGCACAAACCACTACACCCCCCCCACTGTGCTTTTACATACATTTTAATATACCGTCCACTTCATTAATTACACCTTATATCTGCACTCATTGTCCATATAGGAGCACTCTGTAGTTCTACAATTACAGACTGTAGTGCCTCTGTTTCTCTGCATACTTTGTTACCCTGTTCTTCAGTGGTCAGGACCCCCATAGGACCACCACAGAGTAGGTATTACAACAGATGAGCTACTTTCTCTGACTTTACATCTACAAGGTGGACTGTCAAGGTAGGAGTGTCTAATAGAGTGGACAGTGAGTGGACACAGTGTTTAAAAACTCCAGCAGCACTGCTGTGTCTGATCCACTCAGACCAGCACAACACACACCAACACACCACCACCCCGTCAGTGTTACTGCAGTGCTGAGAATGATCCACCACCCATATAGTACCTGCTCTGTGAGGGTCCTGTGGGGGTCCTGACCACTGAAGAACAGGGTAACAAAGTGTGCAGAGAAACAGATGGACTACAGTCTGTAACTGTAGAACTACAAAGTGCACCTATATAGTAAGTGGAGCTGATAAAATGGACAGTGAGCGTAGAAACGAGGCAGGTGTACCTAATAAGGTGTCCACTGTGTGTACAGGCTGTATGTTCACCAGACAAACAGCGTTTAAACCTGTTTTTCTCAAAACTTTTTCCGAGTCCTGTTTATGTTACTGACCTCTGTGCGTCTCTGCTGTTTGAACGGCCGTGTGATGAGCGCTGTGTCTCCCTGAATGACGGCTATGTCCTCGATCCTCCAACTCTCCGGCAGTTCTGGGTCTGCCGGGATCTCGATGAGCTGCAGGCCCACCTTCTGCCTCAGAGCCCCCGTCAGGACCCCGAACTGACGCTGCGCTTTCGCCACGTCCACTTCCACACTGTCACCTCCATCTGCGTGCTGACCAAAGGACTCTGGGATGCCTCTGACCACGGCGTGGGTGAAACGGCCGTATGGAAACACGTTGGCCATTTCTGTGTGTGGTCAGCCTCCGGAGCTCTAACAGATCAGCGGAGAACGCCTCTGTCTCTGTGAGGAGGAAAAGTCCTGGAAAACTGGCTGAAGATAATTCATTAACCTCAGGAGAAACTCACTGCATCCTCTAGACCTGAGAGAGAGACAGAGAGAGAGACAGAGAGAGAGAGAAAGAGAGAGAGAGAGATCTAACATCCTATGATAAAGTTTTTGCACCCCGCCACCTTAGGCCTGTCATGATCATGGAGTTTTAGCTGATGTTTAATTGAAATATACAAACCACAATTCCATTCCTTAAGGTGCAGCTGCAATTAGAGATTTGTCCCTTTACAGTAAAGGACAAAGCCAAAAACACAGACCAGAACACATCAGAACGTCCATGACCTTTGACCCCTCAGATGACTCTACATTAAAAGCTGGCATGTTTCTGTGATGGATATCGCCACATGGGCTCTTTGACAAATCATTGTCAATAAATACTGTTCATTACTGCATCCACAAACGCAAGACTGTACTATGCACAGCGTGGAAGGTGATGGAAATGAACGGTGATGTAACACAGAGGTGATCTGACTTTTTCAAGCCTAAACTGGAAGAATTAGCCGATTAGCTAGCTTGCTTCCTAGCTGTCAAATATTACTCACCGCCGCCTTCTAAAGGTGTTATTGACAAACATCAGTTAAACAAACATTACTCACTGCCGCCCTCTAAAGGTGTCATTGACAAACATCAGTTAAACAAATATTACTCACCACCGCCCTCTAAAGGTGTTATTGACAAACATCAGTTAAACAAATATTACTCACCGCCGCCCTCTAAAGGTGTTATTGACAAACATCAGTTAAACAAATATTACTCACTGCCGCCCCCTAAAGGTGTTATTGCACCAGGCAGAAGTTTTTCTTGTTTTCATTAGGCCCATTTAGTGTCTCAAAAAATGCCATTTTCTGTTTTCTTTTATTTACGTAAAATTGCCTAAAAACCAATGCGATGAAAACTCATCCAATTATAGTTCTGTTTTTTTGTGACATAAACAAATGATTGTAAGAGCTAACAGCTGATGAGTTACTTGCAGTCAGCTTAAATAATGGCAATCCTCTCAAATAATAATTGTGACAGGGCTGCACCACGTCCAGTTCCTCAGTTACATCAACAAAAGCGCGGTCCAGTCTTCTGATTTAAAGCAGAAGGCCCCCAGAAGTCCAGCCCAAGACTCTCTGCAGTCGTACAGTGTTACAAACACATGTTGAAGGTGTGGTCCAAACTACTCGAAGACTGAGTAACTAGCCTGCAGTCACACATATCAAACAAGTATGTATTGAAAATCTATCAACATTTATATTTTATTAAAATATACTGACAGCATATTTCATTTTCACAGGAGCACAGATGAGAGTGCTGACCTAGGATCAGGATGAACAGAGATAATCTGATCCTGCATCGGCCTACATCCCTGTATTTCCAGCCTGCTCCACATTTTAGCATTTTCCTGCTCTAGCACACCTACATTAACCCAGTGAAGGGCTCAGTGATGAGCTGATGAGTTGCAGCAGGTGTGTTAAAGCAGGAGAGACTGGATTGTCCAGAATAGGAAACACTGCCCGATGCTGAACCTCCACCCAACTCTAAGCCTGCTGCAAGCCCTGGCCAGTAGCTGGGATGTGGACTTGGCAGCATCAGTGGGAAGGGAAGAGGATATAAACTTGCTGTGGACAAGAGGCTGATTGTTCTGGGCTGCATTGTTTTGGAAGATCAGACCATTTTCTTTATATTCTCGTCTCAGGATTTGCAATGTTGCTTTCACTGAAAGACAATATCTTGGCAATTAAAATAATTTTAAAACTTGTCAACATATCTAATATTTCTCACTGTTGTAAAAATATTATAAGATTATTCTACTTGTCTATATGCAAAGAGGAACTCCCAGGGCATTCTAGACCTTTAGAGAAGTCCTAAGGATTTCTGGAACCTAAAACATACATGTTTGCAACTTTTAGTTTTAATTCAATGAAATTATGCTTGTATTTTAACTCTACAAGTATTACAGCAGTGTTTCTCGATTCTGGAGTTTTCCCTGCTTCTTCCAACACATCTGATCCAATAAATTAGCTCATTAACAGAGTTGAAGTGGGTGTGTTAAAGCAAGAACAATACTAACATGTGCAGGACACTGGACCTCCAGGGTCGAGAAACACTGTATTATAGTACCACTCTTGTTTCATTGTTAAGTTCTGGATTAAAACAAAAGAGTTACATTCTTGAAAAGGAAAATTAGAACAATCAGGAATAGTTTTTCTTTGTGGTGTCTAGGCAGATACAGCTCAGCGAGCCGCCCTGTTGGTTAGGACTTCAGGAGCTGAAAAGAAGACCTAATGCATTTAGTCATTTAACAGCATGATTACAAAAGTGACAGAGGAACCACCAATCACGATGAGATTTCCAAAATTTTGTGAGAAAAAAAAGGTCACTCTAGACCCCATGTGTCAAACACGATCCTATCTGGCCCATAAAGTATTTGAATTTTCTTTTAATATTAACCTGTTTCACAGTGCACTACACTACAGCCCCCAGCATGCACTGCAACGTAATGTGCACTCCGACTCTCCTACCCCAACAACACTCTATGGGACAGCGGTTACACCTCAGTTCTATATAATTCTACACAATTCCAGTCACCACAACTCACTGCATTTCAGCTGCAGTTCAACCAACATAAACACTTAATGTCAGCTCAGCAGCTCAGAAACTGAGACCAAGTCTAAATGAACTTGCAGCAAAGAAAGGCTGCCAGGTGTCTAGTTCAAGCAGATAGGTGGGTTTAATAGACCGAGCTCCTGGGGACGTTTATACTTTGAATATTTTAAGTATTCATATAATATTTTAAGGTCTACGACAAGCGTCTCTATTTCACCGCTGAAGTTTTGCATGTTTTAAATAAACAAGGGTCAGTTTGGGTTACAGCACAACATTAAGTAAAAATGAAATATGAATGAAACATTTTTTCTCTGACCCACAAATTTGTTGAGATTTTTTAATATGGCCCCTTTAGTGGTTGAGTTTGACACCCCTGCTCTAGACCCTCTGGAAGTTCTAGATACATCACTGGCTGAATACAAACAGCAGCCTAATGACTTTCAGAAGCTTCACATGTCTGTGTTTAATCTAGAATAGCCAAAAACCCAGACTACTAAAGTCCCATAGGGGCGCTAGCAGAAACGCATGTTATCATAGAGGGTTTTTTCTCATGTTTTGACCAAGTTTTGACATTTTTGACGTCACAGTTTGAAATCACAGTAACACATTATTTTTCTGCAATTTGTTTTATTTAAATATTTTATTTCAAATATCGCAAACGTTTGAGCTTCTGTGTACTTGTTTTACGTCATGAAATTGTCTTTTGTGTGAAATTGTCTCTCCATTTGCAGACACTTCTACTAGTTTTATTAAGCAATAATGCAACAGGCAACATTTTCATCCCGTGGAAGGCAATTTCACTAGAGAATCTGTGGAGAAAAGTACGTAAAACAAGCACAAATGTTTAGAAATAGGATGAATAATCTTACAGCAATCTCATGATGAGTCAACGAAATACTATACTGCCCAGATTTAAGCTGCCATCACTTGCCAAGATATCATTTTTTCGCAGTATAGCGCGATAACAAAAACAATCAGCCTAAACAGAGACTTAATTTTACTTGCAGCAACAAGTGCCAGACCCAACAGGTTTGCCAAATTGCAGAACAAATGTAATGGGACGCAACGTTCAGCCTCGTCCCACCAAACAAGTGGCAACAACAGCTGAAGCTCTAGATTAAAAACCTGCACAGACAAAAACAGCCGAGTCTACAAACTCACAAAGTCAGTTACAACAGAAATAAACCTCGAAAACAACAGGGATCAGCATAAGCAGCACACAAACACATCAGGCTAAGGCTGTGCTTGGGTAGAGCCAATGCTGAGCAGTCCCACACTTTAGTGTTGTCCTCTGGGACAGTAAAGAGTGAAAAAGAAGGGAATAAAGTGAGCTTTTTCCCTTTCTAAGCAGCAGATGAGCTCCTTACCTTAAGACTTTAAGGCTTTGTAAGCAGGAGGTTGTGTTTTCATCAGGAATTACTCCTCTTTCAGGCAGCGCAGCTCCGTCTGCTTCATGTCTTCTCCCACACCCACACAGTCCGTTATTCCCCCTCTCCCTCCCTCTTTGTCTCCACTCCCTTTTTCTCCACTTCCCTTCCCTGTCCCCTTTTCAACCCCCTTTCTCTCCTCTCTCCCTCCTCCTATCTCTCTCCCCCTCCCTCCCTCTCTTTTCCCCATCCCCCTTTCCTCAACTCCAGCTCAACTCCCTCTGACTGGACTTTACTGCTTTAGCTCACGGCGCCTGGCGAAAGAGACACGTAAGACTACATAACATGACTTTAGCCCTGAAGACCACATGAGTTATGTATTTGACTGCAGGAGACCATATAAGATATACATAAGACTGTATAAGACTACATAGGACTTGTATGTATAAGACAACATAAGACTGTTTCAGACTACATAAGACCAATATAAGACACTCTAAGAGGACATAATCCTATGTAATACTACATAAGTCACTATAATACAGTATGATCTCATGTGATACCGTATACATAACATTAGACACTATGTAAGATCGTATAACACTAAGACAGTTTAACACTATATATTTTAGACTTTAACAATATAAGACCATTTAAAATGGGTAGACTATATGAAACTATATAGGCAAGACTATAGAACACTGAAAGACCATATAACACTATGTGAGATTATATAACACTATATTATATTAAGTCATTATATTAAGTCATCATGCAAGATTATTAAAGACTATAAAAGGGTAGATAACACCATATAAGAATATATAAGGCTATATAACACCATGTAAAATTGAATAAGACTGTATAAGGCTATATAAGACCATACAAGACTGTATAAGACTATATAAGACTATGTAATACAATGTAAGACTGTATAAGACTATATAAGGCTATATAATACAATGTAAGGCTATAAAAGACTATATAAGACTACATAATACAATGTAAGACTGTATAAGACTATATAAGGCTATATAATACAATGTAAGGCTATAAAAGACTATATAAGACTACATAATACAATGTAAGACTGTATAAGACTATATAAGGTTATATAACACAATGAAAGACTGTATAAGACTATATAAGACCGTTTGACACCAAGACTGCATTAGACTATATAAGGTTATAACACAATTGAAGACTGTGTAAGCTTATATAAGACAGTTTAACAACAAGACTGTATAAGACTATACAAGGCTGTATCACACAAAGAAAGACTGTATAAGACTAAATAAGACAGTATAACACCAACACTGTATAAGACTATATAAAGTTATATAACACAATGAAAGACTATATAAGGCTATGTAAGACAGTATAACACAGAGACTTTATAAGGCTATATAAGGTTATATAATACAATGAAAGACTATATAAGACTATGTAAGACAGTATAGCACTAGGCAAGACTGTATAAGACTATATCAGACAGTATAACACAGAGACTTTATAAGACTATATAAGGTTATATAACACAATGAAAGACTATATAAGGCTATATAGACAGCATAACACCAACACTGTATAAGATTATATAAGACAGAACAACACCAAGACTGTATAAGACTATACAAGGCAATATAAGACCATGCAAGACTGTATAAGACTATATGAGGCTATATAATATATAACACCATGCAAGACTGTTTAAGACCACATAAGACTGTGTAACACAGCGTAAGACTGTGTAAAACTATATAAGACAGTAAAACACCAACACCGTATAAGACTATATAAAGTTATATAACACAATGAAAGACTATATAAGGCTATGTAATACAGTATAGCACTAGGCAAGACTGTATAAGACTATGTAAGAAAGTATAACACAGAGACTTTATAAGGCTATATAAGGTTATATAATACAATGAAAGACTATATAAGGCTATGTAATACAGTATAGCACTAGGCAAGACTGTATAAGACTATGTAAGAAAGTATAAAACAGAGACTTTATAAGGCTATATAAGGTTATATAATACAATGAAAGACTATATAAGGCTATGTAATACAGTATAGCACTAGGCAAGACTGTATAAGACTATGTAAGAAAGTATAACACAGAGACTTTATAAGGCTATATAAGGTTATATAATACAATGAAAGACTATATAAGGCTATGTAATACAGCATAACACCAACACTGTATGAGATTATATAAGACAGAATAACACCAAGACTATATAAGACTATACAAGGCAATATAAGACCATGCAAGACTGTATAAGACTATATGAGGCTATATAATTATAACACCATGCAAGACTGTTTAAGACCACATAAGACTATGTAAAACTATGTAAGACAGTAAAACACCAAGACTGTATAAGACTTTGTGACACCACGTAAGACTGTGTAAGGTTATATAACACTGTGTAAGACCATGTATCACTACGTAACACACTACGTATGTGACTGTATAACACTTTGCATTTCTATTCTATAATTTTACAAACCAGCTCTGGCCTGTATGTGGGTGTGTGAACTCCTGATTCACCACCATAATACTGCTGAAAGAAGCTGTTTCTGTCTGGACTGTTGTTTCCAGCCACGCCTGATAGAGAGAGAGAGAGAGAGAGAGAGAGAGAGAGAGGTGGATAAAGAGAGTTTAAAAGTCAGCCTAAATGACATTGCCATACTAAATGCCTCAGCGATGTGTTTCAGATTATCCTGCCGTCCACAGTCCACTTCATTTAGAAGAATAATCCTCTGTTTTTCAATATGTGGGTCATACGATTAAGCCCAGCAATGCAGTGTGCGCTTATGAGAGTGTGTGTGTGTGTGTGTGTATTTATATCTTTGTGGGGACAATAGCATGCTCCCCACAAGGGAAAGACTCTTTACAACAAACTGCGGCTTTTAGAGACAGTAAAAGGGACTAAAGCTGATCTTTTGGTTGCTGAGGTTAAAGTGAGGGGTGGGTTAGTGAGAGAGCGAGAGAGAGAGAGAAAGAGAGAGAGAGAGAGTAATGGTAAGTTTATGTAGCCCTTGATTTAAAAGTTTCCCAAAAAGATCAAAAAGCGTTATCATCTTTATACGATGTCTAATGGAGTCCGAGGGAGATTTAATGCAGATAATAACGTGTTGATTATTCTTACTGGCTGAGTATCCACATGAAAAACACCCTCATCCTTTATAACCAGTTCAGTTCAGCGCTGCAGTGAGAATCTGTTTGTTTTTCTGTTGGACAGTCAGACAGCAGATGGTGCAGGACTTCAGCAGAGAGGATCTGTCCTCTACTGCCACCTAGTGACCACCATCAGTACAATAACACAGCCTCACAGTCTTATCCACAGTGGGCCGGTGCAGCTGCAGATTTTCACTCTCAGTAAGAGGAGCTCATCTGACTGAACTCCGTGCGGGAGTCTGTCTCAGTCTGCACAGTGTATCAGTCTGCACAGTGTATCAGTCTGCAGTCTGTCTCAGTCTGCACAGTCTGTCTCTGTCTGCAGTGTATCAGTCTGCAGTCTGTCTCAGTCTGCACAGTCTGTCTCTGTCTGCACAGTGTATTAGTCTGCAGTCTGTCTCAGTCTGCACAGTGTATCCGTCTGCAGTCTGTCTCAGTCTGTCTCTGTCTGCACAGTGTATTAGTCTGCAGTCTGTCTCAGTCTGCACAGAGTATCCGTCTGCAGTCTGTCTCAGTCTGCACAGTCTGTCTCTGTCTGCACAGTGTATCAGTCTGCAGTGTATCCGTCTGCAGTCTGTCTCAGTCTGCACAGTCTGTCTCTGTCTGCACAGTGTATCAGTCTGCACAGTGTATCAGTCTGCACAGTGTATCAGTCTGCAGTCTGTCTCAGTCTGTCTGTCTGCACAGTGTGTCTCTGTCTGCACAGTGTATCAGTCTGCAGTCTGTCTCAGTCTGCACAGTCTGTCTGTCTGCACAGTGTGTCTTAGTCTGCACAGTCTATGTCAGTTTGTGCCAGTCTGCACAGTCTATCTCAGTCTCCACAGTCTGTAATGTTTGTCTCAGTCTGCACAGTCTGTACTGTCTATCTCAGTCTCCACAGTCTGTAATGTTTGTCTCAGTCTGCACAGTCCATCTCAGTTTGTCTCAGTCGGCCTCAATCTGCACATCACATCAAAAAGAAAGAGAAGGAAAGAGAAAAAAGACAGAAAAAGACAGAAAGCGAGAGGGAAAGAGTGAAAATTGGAAGGAGAAAGGCAAAAAGATAGAGAGGAGGAAGAAGAGAGACAGAGAGAGGGGAGAAAGAGAAGGAAAAAGGAAAGGAGAAAGAAAGAGATGGATAGACAGAGAAAGAGAAAGGGAAAATTGAAAGAAGAGAGAAAGAAAAGCAGAAAGAGAGACAGAGGAAGAAAAAGAGAGAGAAAGAGAGAGAGTGAGAGAGAGAGAAAGAGAGTGTGTGTGTGTGTGTGTGTGTGTGTGTGTGAGAGAGAGAGAGAGAGAGAGAGAGAGTGAGACAGATGAGTCTGGTGGAGGTCAGACAGGATTAAAGCTCAGACACCATCTGTATAGCACACACACACACACACACACACACACACACACACACTTTAATCCCAACAGAACACACACACACCTCTCCATGCAGCTGTAGTGTGTGAGTGTGTGTGTGTGTGTGTGTGTGTGTGTGTGTGTGTGTGTGTGAAGGTCACGTGCCCTATAAAAACAGCTCCAAAACAGTCTCCTCTGAAAGTACTGGAACAGCAGGCCGATTCTGTTTTGTTTGTTTGTTTTTGTTGTAAACTGAGGACATTTGGGTTTGAGATCTGAAGATGAATATTAGACGATAGATCAGAATTTCAGCTTTGATTTCCTAATATTTACATCTTGATATGCTGAACAACTCAGAATATGGCAACTTATGTTTGAACCCACCCATTTTTTTCGTGTGAGCAAAAATATCAGACTGTGTGACGGACAGGTGTGTCTAGTTGCCCAGGTGTGCCCTGTCAGAGTGACTGTTTCAACAGTTAAAAGATCTGCATGTCCACTCGCCTGGGACTCTCTCCATTTCGCCCGTGAAGACTGCACTTGTTGTTTTAAACCAGGCATGTTAAAGTGGGGACCTTCCAGACCAAAGTGCTGTGGAGATCCACCCTCATCTGTCCCTCTGAGTTCAGTTCGAGAAGGCCTTGCTAATCAGCTGACGAGCTCAATCAGGTTTTTATTAAAGAGGTGAGTAAAGAGGCCCATCAATGCACTAGAGCAGCAAAGGCCGTTCAGTCTGGTCTGGACAGACACAAGGGCTTCTATGACACAAGCCACAGCGATGGTTACAACACATATGGGGCTGCGTATGGGTCTGTGTAGCTGCAGACCGGTCAGAGTGTCAGTGCTGACCCCTGTCCACCGCCAAGAGCCCCTGCAATGGGCACGCGAGCATCAAAGCTGGAGCAATGGAAGAAGGTCACCAGGAAGTGATGGCACCAGGATGCACCGTGGGAAGAAGACAAGGAAGGGAGTGTGACGCTCTCGACAATGTTCTGGGTCCAGCATTCATGTGGATGTCAGTTTGACATGTTCCACCCACCTAAACATGGTTGTGGACCAGGTACACCCCTCAATGGTGGTGTGTTAGTGTGTGTTGTGCTGGTGCGAGTGGATCAGACACAGCAGTATCACTGCTGGACTGAGAATGGTCCACCAACCAAAAATATCCAGCCAACAGCGTCCTGTGGGCAGCGTCCTGTGACCACTGATGAAGGACTAGAGGATGATCAACACAAACTGTGCAGCAGCAGATGAGCTATCGTCTCTGACTTTACATCTACAGGGTGGACTGACAAGGTAGGAGTGTCTAATAGAGTGGACAGTGAGTGGACACAGTGTTTAAAAACTCCAGCAGCACTGCTGTGTCTGAACCACTCAGACCAGCACAACACACACTAACACACCAGTGTTACTGCAGTGCTGAGAACGATCCACCATCCAAATAGTACCTGCTCTGTGAGGGTCCATGGGGGTCCTGACCACTGAAGAACAGGGTAATAAAGTATGCAGGAGAAACAGATGGACTACAGTCTGTAACTGTAGAACTACGAGGTGTAATGTATGTATATGTGTGTAGTGTCTTGTAAATAGTTTGTCCTGGATGGACCTGGATCACAAGACCAATGGTCAGTCACTTGACTGGCCTTATGCTTCTCATTTAGGTCTAATGCAGTTACTCTCTCTCTCTCTCTCTCTCACCCACACTGACTGCTCTCTCTACACACCCTTTGATATACTTTGTCTCATATCACCTGTTTTAGCTGTAAAGGTGCTAAATAAATAATATTATATAATATTATAACAATATTACTACTAATATTGTTATTATTATACTCACTATTTAGTATCATCTGTCATTACCGTAATGCAGTTCATGCAAATGCAGTTTAAAGCAGACGTATCTGATGCTAATATCCTCTAATATACCTGTAACCCTGTACGTCCAGGTGCTGCTGTGAATCCTGCAGTTTTGCTCAGTTTGCACTGCGTAGCTCCTAAATCACACTACAGCACACGGCTGGTGAAAGGAGGAGGCGTCTCCGCAAACAACTCCTCATTCACACAGAGGAGCTGCAGGGACTGCAGGGCAACGTCACAGTGAGCCAAGAGGGCACTGAGAGACAATCACGAGGGAAAGTGAGGGAGCAGAGGGACATTTAGAAAGAAAAGAACAAGTAGAGAGTAAATGAGATCGAGTGTCAGAACTCAGGAGACGAGAAAACGAGAAGAAAGACAGAGGTGAAGAGACAGTGAGAGAGAGACAGAGGAGAAGAGAGACAGAGAGAGAGCTCTGAGTTGCTTCGAGAAGTTGAAGCTGATCATCATGACTGGATCCCTGGGTTCACTCATCCTCCTGCTGTGCTGTCTGCCTGTAGCAGGTAAGACCACGCGCACACGTTTGTTATTATATTTTGTCAGTATATGACCCTTTTTTGCCATATATATATATATACATATATCGCTGAGTGGATCAGACACAGCAGTATCACTGCTGGACTGAGAATGGTCCACCAACCAAAAATATCCAGCCAACAGCGTCCTGTGACCACTGATGAAGGACTAGAGGATGATCAACACAAACTGTGCAGCAGCAGATGAGCTATCGTCTCTGACTTTACATCTACAGGGTGGACTGACAAGGTAGGAGTGTCTAATAGAGTGGACAGTGAGTGGACACAGTGTTTAAAAACTCCAGCAGCACTGCTGTGTCTGATCCACTCAGACCAGCACAACACACACTAACACACCAGTGTTACTGCAGTGCTGAGAACGATCCACCATCCAAATAGTACCTGCTCTGTGAGGGTCCATGGGGGTCCTGACCTGATATATATACATATATCGCTGTTGTCGGATCAAAACCTTGTATCTCCAAACTGATTCCTTTACAGGACAACGAAAAAACATACTCTACTTTTAATGTAAGTCAATGGAACCAGACTTTTTTCCAGGTCATTTTGGAGCGTTTGTGTTGTTCCATCCTTCATGAACTTTGAACACGAGAAAAAACAGAAGTGAAGTTTTCAAAATATACAAATAAGCAAAAAAGGAGAAATTTCACAATAATTGGGCCAAAAGAAATGACTTGGAAAAACGTCTGGTTCCCATTGACATACATTAAAAGTAGAGTATGTTATTCTGTTGTAAAGGAATCAGTTTTGGCCCTTTAACAGAGCTGCTTAACAATGCCAGCCTGTTGTTTTCACCCACTGAATGCCAGACGTGATTCTGAAAGCCATGGCTCTGCCCATCTGTAGGGGTGTAGAGAGACACACACGATTGTGGGAAATAACACCCCCTTCACTTGGAGTGAAGTCGCTCATTAAGGCCATGATTTAGCGCTGTTTCTGTAGGATGCACTGCTTTTCATCTGATGTTGAAACTGTATGTAAGTTCTTCGCTCAAGTAACAGCAGCTCTACTGTGGTAAAAGCTGAAGTATGGTTTACATTTATACTTTTACTGGACTAAATAAACGTAAAGTTAAAAAGCAACAGCAGCTCAGTTTTAAATGAGAGTGATTGTTATTGAGGTTAATTAGATGTTTGCAATCATGACGCTGGGCGTAAATAATAGTTTATCCTAGACCTGCAAGGATCATCTGCACAGTCACACTGTTATAGAGCATAGGGCCAAGAATGGCTTTCAGACAGTAAGCACGAGTAAGTGCTTACACAATATGGCCAAAAGTATGTGGACACCTGACCATAGACATATATGAGCTTGTTGGACATCCCAATCCAAAATCATGGGAATTAATAAGAAGTTGGCCCTTTGTGGCTATAACAGCCTCCACTCTCCTGAGAAGGCTGAGGACGTTTCTGCCCATTCAGTCAAAAGAGCATTTGTGAGGTCAGACACTGATGTTGGATGTGAAGGCCTGGACCACAATTGACGTTCCACTTAATCCCAGTGGGGTTGAGGTCAGGGCCCTGTGCAGACCACTGGAGTTCCTCCACACCAAACTCATCTAACCATGTCTTTATGAAGCTCACAGTCATGCTGGAACAGGAAAGGGGCGTCCCCAAACTGCTGCCACAAAGTTGGAAGCTTGTTGTGACGAAGGCCTCAGAGAACGCGGCCTCCCAGGCCTGGCCAGATAAAAAGCCATAAGAGGAGTCTCATGGGAGGTGCACGCCAGTTAAAAAGGAGCTGTATTTGTTGTTCATGTTGATGTTCTGTTGGTTGAAGTTGTGGGTATGTGTTGGTGATGTTTTGTGTCTGGGGTGCTGGATGTTTGTGTGTTAGGCAGGGCCGCAACCGGGATAAACATTTTTGCGAGGTCTGTTTTGTAGAAAAGTGACCTACATCACACAGTGACTAAACTAACAGCCGTTACACCGACTGTCAGTTTCTCCTTTAGCGTTTTTAACCGAATCGTTGCTCCTTTTTTTTACCCGTCCATAATTGTTATGCACCATTTCCTTTCATTTATTTTTTTTTATTTCCCTGTTCTGCAAAATTTCTCACAGAATACAAATCAAATCTTAGAAGTGTGGCTTCATAAATATTATTTCCCTATTGGGTGGGTATATGTCTGTCTGTCTGTCTGCCCTGCGATGGACTGGCAACCTGTCTAGGGTGTTTCCTGCATTCCGACCAATGACAGCTGGGATAGGCTCCAGCTGCCCCCGCGACCCAGAAGGATAATCGGTTTAGACGATGTGTGTGCGTGTGTGTGTGTGTGTGTGTGTGTGTGTGTACTTGAATGGGTGGAACTGTAAGACTGTGGAAACTGTAAATGTTTATGTTCATTAAAAAGCATTTCCTGGGCACATCATGGCTTCACCTGACTCTTCTTCCCCATAAGGCTACAAAATAATTGTATAAAACCTCTTTGTAAGCTGTAGCATTAACATCACCCTTCACTGGAACTAAGGGCCCTGAAAAACAGCTCCAGCCCATCATCCCTCCTCCACCAAACTTCACTGTTAGCACTATGCATTCCGTTAGGTCGTGTTCTCCTGGAATCCTCCAAACCCAGATTCATCCATCAGACTGACAGATAGAAAAGCGTGATTCATCACTCAATATTTTCACTGCTCCAGAGTCCAGTGGCAACGTGCTTTACACCCCTTCCAGCCGACGCTCGGCATTGCACAGTGCTCTTATGCTTGTGTGTAGCTGCTCGGCCATGAAAACCCATTTCATGAAGCTCCTAACGCAGAGTTCTTGTGCTGATGTTGCTTCCAGTGGGCAGTTTGGAGCTCTCAGCAAAAGATACAGGCGCACATCGGCACTCGGCAGTCCTGCTCTGTGAGTTTGCATGGTCTACTGCTTCGTGGCTGAGCTGTTGTTGCTCCTGGACACTACCAATTCATAATAATAGCACTTACAGTTGTCTGGGGCAGATCTAGCAGGGTAGAAATTTCAGGAGGTAGCAGAAGGTGATATCCTGTGACAGCTTAAAATCACTGAGCTGTTCAGTACGACCTTCCAGTGTTTGTCTGTGGAGACTGCATGGTTATGTGCTTGATTTTATGTACCTGGTAACAATGGGTGTGGCTGAAACACCTGAACTCAGTAATTAGGAGGCGTGTCCAATCTTTGGGAGATTGAGTGTGAGATTTGTCTGGATTCCATGAATGTTTTGATGATATTTTTCACTGTAGAGACTGAAATCCTTGCAGCCACTGGTGTTGACTCATTGACTCACTTGCGCTCACTGTTGTTGATGCCTCAGACAGTGAACCCATTATTTTCCTGCTAGAAAAAACAGCCTAGACTTGTATATGTTGCCTAAACGCCTAAGTCACTAGAGACAATCATCCTTTTCTTCTTTTCATCCTTTTTTAAACAGCAGAATGTGTTTGTTGTCAACTCAAAGTCTCTCTCTCTCTCCTCTCTCTCTCTCTCTCTCTCTCTCCTCTCAGTGATGTCTCTGACGTGTTACTCATGCGTGTTTCCAGCCATCTCTCCACTTGACTGTCTTAAGTTTCCTCAGGAGTGTCCTGCTGGTCAGCGCTGTCTGTCCAGTGTTGCTACAGGGGTCAAAGGTGAGAAAACACACACTCAAACATGCCCTCATACCTGATACACCCATGACAGCACCACACACACTACCACTGTTAAGCAGCCTGCAGTAGAAGCACAAGGTAGGTGTTTCTGATAAAGTGGCCAGATAGTGGAAGAGCAAGGTAGGTATTTCTAATAAAGTGGCCAGTTAGTGGAAGTACAAGGTAGGTGTTTCTAATAAAGTGGCAAATGAGTGGAGGGGCAAGGTAGGTGTTTCTAATAAAGTGGCCAGTTAGTGGAAGTACAAGGTAGGTGTTTCTAATAAAGTGGCCAGTGAGTGGAAGAACAAGGTAGGTGTTTCTAATAAAGTGGCCAGTGAGTGGAAGAACAAGGTAGGTGTTTCTAATAAAGTGGCAAATGAGTGGAAGAACAAGGTAGGTGTTTCTAATAAAGTGACCAGATAGTGGAAAAACAAGGTAGGTGTTTCTAATAAAGTGGCCAGTGAGTGGAAATAGGTGGTATGCCCACAACCATCGCTGGTTCCCACATACAGCTGCAGGCAGGAAACGTCCAGCTCTGTGCTGGAGCTGTTAGTAGTAACTGTCAGCAGAGGGCGCTCACACTGTGTGTGTGTGTGGTTGTGTATATGAGTGTGTGTGTGTGAAAGAGGGACAAGTGCAGGAGTAAATAGTCTTATACAGGAATTCCACAGATTTTTCCAGAATTTTACAAAATGTGTAAAGAAATGTGTTCATTTCTACATGAACATTTCCTTTAGCGATAGTTTTGTTGGTGTTACAGGGTAAATCTGGGGAAGAAATAACCCGCAGGTAAGGGTCATCCTAAACTGCTTAGTCCAGAGAGGGTCGCAGTAGCATTTGGGAGAGCAGAGAATCCCAGACAACCCAGACGATCATTCCGGGGGACCCCAAGCCGCTCCCAGGCCAACTTGGAGATATAATCCCTCCAGCGTGTCCTTTGCTAACCCCGGGGTCTTGTCCCAGTAGGCTGTGCCTGGTAAACCCCCACCGGGAGGCGTCCAGGGGCATCCTGATCAGATGCCTGAACCACCTCAACTGGCTCCTCTCAATGCGGAGGAGTAGCGGCTCTGCTCTGAGCTCCTCCCGGATGACTGAGCTCCTCACCCTACCAAGTAGAGCGTAGCCACCACCCTGTGAAGAAAGCTCATTTCCTCTGCTTGTATTCCCGATCTCGTTCTTTCAGTCATTACCCACAGCTCATGACCACAGGTGAAGGTTGAGATGTAGACCAACTGGTAAACAGAGAGCTTTGCCTTGTGGCTCAGCTCCCTCTTCACCACTCAGTCCGGTACAGTGACTGCATTACTGCTGCCGCCTGTCCCAGCCTGCGGTCGATCTCACCACTCACTCGTGAACAAGACCCCGAGATACTTAAACTCCTCCACCTGGGGCAGGTCCTTTCCCCTTACCTGGAGTGGACATGCCATCCTTTTCCTGGCTAGGACCATGGACTCAGACTCGGAGGTGCTGATCCTCATACCAACTGCTTCACAAACCGCTCCAGCTGCAAAAATCCTCCATGACTAAGGGACGCAGGAAATCATGTACACTGCCAACATGTGGGGACCGTGTGGGCCGACCACTCGCAAGGTCCAGCGTGGGGGAACGGCGCAGTGCCGTATAGGCAATGGGAGATGGTAGGGAGGCCCTTGGCGGCATAGACCCCTGCGGTGGAAAATTTGATCCATCATGTACAATTTGTATTTATTAAATATTGAATATTATTGCTTGATTTAATTGTTTTTGTTATTATTGGAAAAAAAAATAATATAACGAGTTTAAATAACATTACATAATTAATATAATGACAATTTCAAGTGTTTCTGTTAGAGTGCGTAATAAAGCACCATCAGGGGAGACCACTGTGCTGGAGTCTCTTGTAGTCAGTTACAGATAAGCTGATTTGATTTGAGGTAAAAATAGACAGTGTGATTAAAAACTCCTCTGAATCCTGATTCATTATAATATTAGTGTGACAGGCTGGTCCAGCATACTAGTAGCACAACATGTTAAAACCTTTTCAACTCCTTGGGACCACCGGTGGTTCCAAAACGCACTTCATCATATTCTTCATAACTTTCATATTTCATAAGCTACATTCAAAGGTGGGGGTCATATGAGAGCTGCAACTGTCTTCTTTCCAGTCAAGTAGATGGGTGATGTCATTTTAAACCCTTATAATAAAAGAAGCTGAACTCACTATTTTATTTCTACTGAAAGTCGATCCATTTTTCCACAAATCTGGGCTATAAACTATAAACAGACGGCGTCTCTTCAGTGATCTGCTCTGTAAAAATTATTTTTATAAAATAACACAAAGAGCGTCTGAGCTTTTTGGCTTTCAGCAGTAAATTGTAAGCATATAGTAATATGTGTGATCATAAAACATGTTCTGTTAATTTGTGGGGAGCTTTTACAAAAAAAATAAATAAATAATTAAAATAAAAATGTACATTTATTTCATGCAGTTACTGAATAATTTGCCTAATGATTTGGTCATGTAGATTCAGATGGAACAACCAAAATATACCCTGGTCAGTAAGAGGGTTAACTAGCCTTGGGTTTAGTTTACTAACACCAGCTCTGTGAAACTAGCAGTGTTTCAGTGGTTCAGCAGTCTGTTAGTATATACAGCATGTTCTCCATCAACCTGAAGAACCATGTCACTGTACAAAAAGCCATAAAGCATGCAAATGGTTCTTTGAGTGTTCATGGTTCTATATAGAACCTTTTGTCCACTTTTTCTCTCTGGACTACATCACTGAGGCACTATCCTTGCCTAGTCGACGGTTAGTGCCAACTGATCTAGGCAACCCAGTTTCGCTCATATAAGTAAATGAGGGAATAAATCTGTGAACTGGAGTGAACGAGTGTAGTTTCAGTCGACTTGAGCTTTGTTGTGGTCTTTGACTGACAGCTGGTGGTCTCATCAAGCGTTTACAGTTTTGGGAAACAGCAGTAAGCAGGTATATAAACTTGCACGGCGGCCAGTTTGGCACTGTTGTGGTCCTGCCCACGTTCCGGCCTTAATGTCCTTTAAAAACCCTGTCTGGACTGGCAGACCAATTAAAAAGGCTTCTCTCTCTCTCCCTCTCCTTCTCTCTCTCTCTCTCTCTCTCTGTCTCTGTCTCTCTGTCTCTGTCTCTCTCTCTCTCTCTCTCTCTGTGTAGGTTCTATCAGTATAGTCCTCCATGAGAAGAGCTGTGCGGTTCCGTCTCAATGTGGTCTCAGTGGAGAGAAACACGCTGCAGGGCTGAACTTCACCTACAAGAACGTCTGCTGTGACACCGACCTCTGCAACTCTGCCGTGCATCTCGGCGCCCCCTGCTGGGGAGACCGGCTGCTGCTGAGCCTCCTCGGTGTGGCCCTCCTCCTCCTGCTGGCCTGAGTCTCTTCATCCGTAATGTTAAAGAAATGAGCCCGCTTTTCTCCTCCTAAAGTCCACCTGATGCTCCTGTATCGCACCGTCAGCGCAGATGACACGTTTCTCTGTACACAGTAAAAGAGCCGAGAACCTCCTCACTCGCCCACACTATGCGTCCAAAAGTCTGTAGACACCAGCGTTTCTTCTGAAATGAAGGGTGTTTATAGGGAGTTTGTCCTCCTTTACTGCAGTGACAGCCTCTAATCTTCTGGGAAGGCTTTACTCTAGATGGTGGAACATTACTGTGAGGATTTGATTGAGCATTAGTGAGGTCAGGTACTGATGTTGGATGGTCAGTTCTGGATCACTCCAACTCATCCCAAAGGTATTGGATGGAGCTCCATCACTCCAGAGAATGCAGTTCCACTGCTCCTCAGCTCAGTGCTGGGGGGGTTTCATGCCCCTCTAGCCCTTGCTTGGCATTGGGTATGGTGACCTTACACTCGTGTGGCTGCTCCAGCACACCGCATCCTATTGGTCAGTGCTTTTTTTATGTAGATTATACAAGATTTTCACTGAACCGTCACTTTAAAGATCTGCCTAACTGTTAATGCATTAGTTAAAAAGAGCAAAATTCTTCAGTATTAGTGGCCTAGCTCAGGAGTCGGCAACCCAAATGTTAAGAAGAGCCATTTTGTCCTTTCAACAAAAATCAAACCACTTTGGGAGCCACAGCATTTTATGTCCACTTTACCATCCTGGCTGTAAATATGTCTCAGAATGTGCTGATGTACTAATATAGGCTAACAAATATAATATAAACAAAAATGCAGACTTACTTTGCTCTGCTTTGAGCTTTAGCTCAGCTATAGCTGCTTTTCTCGCATCTCCAGCAGGAAACTTTTCCACAAAAGTAGAACAGTTTCTTGTAAAATGTCTCTCAACGTTCGACTTTTAACGAGGCTGAATTCAGCTTCTCATTCACCAGATTCTTGTTCTGCTGCACCATTTAAGGTGGAACGGGACAATTCAAGCAAGAAGCTAGTGAACGAGAATCTGACTTAGTGTTTGACAGTTTCTCGTTCCAGATTAAATGCATCAGGAAACCAGCTGGAGTGACTATAAACACAGATAAATCCATTCATCTGTGAATCATCGATGTTCCTCTTAAATCTTTCTCTTTGCCTTTTCGTTAGTTACTAGCTAGATGAGATTGTTGTCTGTGTTGCTATGGAAACAGTCTGCCTGCTAGTCTTTAGGGTTAAAGGGTGAATTAGCAGATATACAACTCCAGCATTTAAGACCTTGTATTATTAAAACTGTGTACTTTATTTTACTGCAAAGGAGGATTATTTTATTTTTACCTACAAATCTAATTCAGCTGTGGAGCCACAACAGTGCAGTAAATGAGCCGCATGTCGCCGACCGCTGGGCTAGATGTATAAGTGGCTGAATTCTTGAATAAACGTTTGAATTACGTGACTCAAATTGAAGTTTCCACCATCAGTACAGCTGTTAAGGTGTATTGAGAAAAGCCTTGATTATATAGTTTTATCCAACTTGCCAACACTGGAGCAACACCACAGCTGCATTCCAGTTCAGACATTTTAAGGGTGATTCCAAACCACAGGGAGCGAAAACGTTCCACTAGAACAGTCTGCACAGGGAGGAGTGAACAACAGTGTACCACTTTTGTTTGCCCATCAGTCCTTGCATGTAAATGCATAAGAAGGCAGTTCCGGGTTCCTTTCACTTTCCCTAAGCCTTCCTGGTATCCATGAAAATTTTGTCCACATCACTGCACTGGAAACAAGTTCTTCTCTCTGGAAAACTAGTCCGTCTCTGATAGAGCTAATTCTATAAGTCTGTAGCTTTCTGCAGAAATACGTTTTGGTAAATTACCAAAAAAATGTCTTTCAAACGAATAATTCCTGATAGAGTTTAGCAGCTGCCCTTTGGCTTCTGTTATGAGTGACGGTGGGTTTTCTGTTCTTTACTAAGTGTACAGAAATGTGTCAGAGTTAATGTCCATGATAATCAACTGTCCAGTTAGAGTCCACCCTTCATTCTAATTCCCAGTTAAAATGCCATTATGTACTTAGAGTACATAGAGTACTTATTCAGCATTTCAGCAGCAAGTCTCCAACACAAACTCACTTCAGCTGCCTCACAAAGTCAGAATGTGTTTACTTACTTCAGAAAATGTTAAACCAACTTCTAAGACTGAACTTTGGAGGTGTGAAAAACATCCCTGCAGGTTTCTTTGAGAAACTGAAAGTGAGTCTCTTGATAAGAGTGGAGGTTGGAATAAAGGTAGTGAGTGACACACTGAGTACTGAAAACATTGTTATTTTTTAGCTGTTGAGGCTTCTGTGTCATTTTCTGTTAAATATGTTTTTTTTTCTCACACTGAAAAATGACTCACTGGTAATTAATGACCATTTTGACTGGAAATTTAATAAATGAAGGGTGGTCTTTGACTTGTGCACAGTGCTATATATGCTGTCCATCCTCTTCATTAAAATCACCTCCTTGTTTCTACACTCACTGTCCATTTTATCAGCTCCACTTACTATATAGGAGCTCTTTGTAGTTCTACAGTTACAGACTGTAGTCCATCTGTTTCTCTGATACTTTGTTAGCCCCCTTTTACCCTGTTCTTCAGTGGTCAGGACCCCCATGGACCCTCACAGAGCAGGTACTATTTGGGTGGTGGATCATTCTCAGCACTGCAGTAACACTGACGTGGTGGTGGTGTGTTAGTGTGTGTTGTGCTGGTCTGAGTGGATCAGACACAGCAGTGCTGCTGGAGTTTTTAAACACCTCAGTGTCACTGCTGGACTGAGAATAGTCCACCAACCAAAAATATCCAGCTAAAAGCGTCCTGTGACCACTGATGAAGGACTAGAGGATGACCAACACAAACTGTGCAGCAGCAGATGAGCTATCGTCTCTGACTTTACATCTACAAGGTGGACCGACAAGGTAGAAGTGTCTAATAGAGTGGACAGTGAGTGGACACAGTGTTTAAAAACTCCAGCAGCACTGCTGTGTCTGATCCACTCGTACCAGCACAACACACACTAACACACCACTACCACGTCAGTATTACTGCGGTGCCGAGAAAGATCCACCACCCAAATAGTACCTGCTCTGTGAGGGTCCATGGGGGTCCTGACCACTGAAGAACAGGGTAAAAGGGGGCTAACAAAGTAGGGGTGAAGGGTTAACGTATAAACTGTGCTGTGTATGTACAGAGTTGAATCTCGACCACTAACATCCACATAGCAGAGCACACACACACACACACACACACACACACACACACACACACACACAAAGACACACACACAAAGACACACACACACACACACACACACACACACACACACACACACACACACACACGCACACACACAAAGACACACACACAAAGACACACACACACACACACACACACACACACACACACACACAGTGCAGTTAAAAAAGAATGAACGGAAGTTCACATCTAAAAACAAACACACAGGAGCAACCGCATACATGCAGAGCAAGACCTCCCTCTCTCTCTTTCTTTCTCTCTATACCTCTCTTTCTCTCCCCCTCTCGCTCTCTCTGTCTCGCTCTGTCTTTCCCTCCTCTCTCTCTCTCTATTGCTCTCTTTCTCTCCCTGTCTTTCTACCCTTTCTCTCTCTTCTCCCTCTCTCTCTTCGTCTTTTTCTCTCTCTCTTCCCCCCTCTTTCTTTCCGTCCCTCTCTCCCCTTCTCTTTCTTTTCCCCCTCTCTGTTGCTTTCTCTCTCTCTCTCTGTTGCACTCTCTCTCTCTGTTGCTCCCTTGCTCTCTCTCTCTCTCTGTTGCGCTCTCTCTCTCTCTCTCCCTCTCCATTGGTCCTTCACTCTCTCTTTCTCTCTGTTCATCTCTCTCTCTCTCTCTCTCTCTCTCTCTCCCCTCTCCATTGGTCCTTCACTCTCTCTTTCTCTCTGTTCATCTCTGTCTCTCTCTCTCTCTCTCTCTCTCTCTCCCCTTCTCTGTCGCTCTCTCAATATGCACATACCACAGAAATCCTCTCTTGCCCCGTCTCTCTCTCCCCTTCTCTCTGTTGCTCTCTCTCTCTCTCTCTCTCTCATTATGCACTTACCACGTAAATTCTCTCTCTATAAATAGGTGCTGAGTTTGTGCAGCTGAGTCTCTTATTTTTTTCTCTGTGCTCCTCTGCAGTTTTCTGAGCCGCCTCAGACGAGTCAGTAACTTCCACAGATCTGTTTAATTCAGCTTTGTTTACTCACTGCAGTTCAGTCACTGTGTAATAAGTGTGACTTGTCTAATCGTGTGTTAATGCTGGCAGCTAATACCACCACCACGCTGAGTTACGGTAACTAAATAAAACTAATGAAACATCATGAATCCAGTGTTTTTAATCTGTTTAATGTCTTAATGCGAAGCTGACGGTCATCATTCCTGTCCTGGTCTCTGCTGATGTTGCTCTGCTAACAGGGTTTTATTTTGGACTATAGAATCAAAGCTGCTCTCAACTTTCTCTCAGGTTTAAATAGTGATCAGTTCCCTTCGTCTTCAGCAGAGCCTGATTATCCACGTCTGGTTTCATACGTTTGATGTGATGTCGAGTTTAAAGGATATATATAATAAAATATAACATTTATTTTATGATTTGACATTATTTATCTTATTTCTAAACATTTTTTACTGATTATAAGTGATTTTATGCAGTAGAATTGATTGTTGATTACATTACGTATCGCAAAAGGACGATATTTACAGTCCGTAAGCTGAAGAATTCACACCAAAGCAAGTAAAATAAGCAAATATTACACACTATAAATTGAGCTGACAGGAACAGGACAGTAAGTGTGACATTTCCTTTGAGGATCTGAAACCATAGAGGAAATCAAAGACTTGTTTATGATGCTGTATTTGCCAATTTTAATTCAGCGTTAGGTGTTTGTGGGTGGAGTGGAATTAAATGAATAAGTGAACACATCCTTTATGGAGAACAAACTCCTGCCCATTATAATACACTATGACCATTTATTTGCTGAAAGATTTGTTTATTTGCTTAATATATTGGCAATAAAAATAATACATAAACGTGGTCTGTGCAGTAGTTATAGCTTAGGTTTTATTTTTTCAAAAAAACACAGCAAATAAATAGATTTGTGCTCTAAAATTTACAGACAAATTGCATATTTAAGTGTTTTCTCTGTGGAGGATATTTCAACATATTATCACTTAGAAAATCAACTAAACATGTTCAAACTTTTGCCTGTACATAATGCAATGTCAAGCTTGTAACAATAGGAGAACCCTTATTAGTGCTGTATAGAACCCTCAAAAAGGTTCTATATAACACCATCTACAGCACATTCTCCATCAATCTGAAGAACCATTTTAAGATGCAAAGAACCCAATTATACAAAGGGTTGTATGAGTGTTCATGGTTCTATATAGAGCCATTTTCTTAAATAAAGAACATGAGTGCCTTAAGTCGCTGCCAAATAATGTTGTATCATGAATAGCGAAAAAATGTCATATTTCCAGGGGCGTAGCCACGTTTACAATGGGGTGGGCAGGTTAGACAGGTTAGACAGTTTTAACGATAAATGGTCTTAAATACTGGAGTTAATGTAGAACGGCTAATTCACCCTTTAACCCTGACAGATGACAAAAACAAATGGACTCATCTGTGTTTATAATCACTCCAGCTGGTTTCCTGTTACGTTTAATCTGCAACGAGTTCAACTTGTCCTGTTCCACCTTAAACGGTGCAGTTACATTCTGGAGCCCCAGGCACCATTTAAGGTGGAACAGTAAAATTCAAACAAGAAGCTGGCGAATGAGAAGGGACACTGAGAGACATTGTACAAGAAACTGTTCTACTTTTGTGGGAAAGTTTCCTGCTGGAGATGTGAGAAAAGCGTCTATAGCTGAGCTAAAGCTCAAAGCAGAGCAAAGTAAGTCTGTGTTTATATTTATATTTTTTAGCCTATATTAGTACATCAGCACATACTGAGACATATTTACAGCCAAGATGGTAAAATGGACGTAAAATGTGGCTCCCAAGGTGGTTTGATTTTTGTTGAAGGGACAAAATGGCTCTTCTTAACATTTAAGTTGTGACCCCTGATGTACCCCTTGGCTATGCCCCCACAGATCCTAGTTTCCACGTCAATAAAAACCAACGATCAGTATATAAATAAGACAGACCTCCACTGTAATTTTCCATTCTGCTCTTTATTAAGGCCTATTTGTTGTGTACAGTTTTTCCATTTGCACTTAAAAAAGGACACAAAACACGACAAACATTTCTATTTGATTGTCACCCAACTGTTCATCTCATCAACGACACTTAATCTGGCCAATAAATCTGCACTGATATGAACACCCTGTATATTCGAAGTGCAACCGCAGGCTTTTCTCACAAAGGAAGGTGCAGTTTGGTTGAAATATTGAGGTGTTAGAGAATGAAAGGATGAAAAAGAGGAAGGAAGAAAGGGCGCAGAAGCAGTGGACGGACAGAGAAGAAAGGGAGCGTGACCTCAGACAAAGAGATCACCAGTTAAGAGGCACGGAAACAAGAGGGAGGGGGTGTTTTTCCTTTCATGCTGCTCGCAATTGCGCTTCTTACTGTAAATCTTCACATGTGAGTCATACAGAACGAAACAGCATAGAAATACAACATTCACCACATACGGTGGAATTAACAGCAAAATTCGACATAAACAAAAGAAATAAGAGTGAAATGAAAGTCTGACATTGTAATTTCTCAGAAAATCTTTTTTTTTTTCTAGAATTATATATTAGTTAAATCACAAATAGTCATCATTCAGGATACGTTTGATAAAATGCTCAATATGAACCCATTTAGACATCGTAATATCACTCAAGACAAACTAAAACTTGCTCCATGAACATACAAAATATTAAAAAAACGCATTCAGTCTTTAAATGAACTCGAAAGTAACACATTGGTCCCTTTAGTTAACAGTGAATGAGGTCACTGCTGCAGTACAACCACAAAAAGTAGATTGGACTGAAGTAAAAATAGAAATTTTAAGTCTTGTTCCCATTTTTACAGTGAGATTAGCGGTGGCTACGCCTCAGCCACAGGCCCACATCAACAAAACCGTCCTTTAGACTTACAGTTATACATTAACGTGTGGGAATGTGATGTGTGACGTGTCTTTTAACTAATATAATACATGAGCAGTAGTTTTTTGTGCCCAGAGCCAAAAAAAAAAGCTCAACCAAGTGATGCTAACATGGCTAAAGCTAGTTTAGCTGCTTTCACTCTTATCAGAACAGCTGCTAATCAGACATCTGTAGAGAATGTATCCTTGTTGGATCTCAGAGAAGCACGTCAGGTACTTTGTTCCTCGTTCCTGTGTTATCAGCTACAACTCTGAGCTCCCGTTACACGTACGACCTCAACAGCTGCTCAAGGTCAGTTTACAAATCAGACAATTGGCATAACATAGCATTAGCCACATTAGCATGTTGTTTGGTCGAACTTTCCTTTTAAAGCAGTTTAAATGTTGATCTAGTATCAGCTCTCCAGTCAGTATCGTCCTCAGACAGTGGTGGAAAGGAACAGCATCTGCTTTAATAATGTATAATAATGTATAACGCAGATTTTTAGCCTCTATTTTAAGGATTTTTAAGATGATAAGTAGCTTTTTAAGATCTGTTCTTTTGCTGAGATAACAGCCAGGCTTTAAAGGATGGTTTACAGCAAAAAAAAATACATTTCAATTTACAAACAACAACATTTTAGCCAAGGTAAGTTTGGTAAACTTATCTTCTTTAGTTTTGCTTTGGAGCTATGAGGCTAATATAAAAAGACTATGAACATTATTCAGTGGGAGTAATACCTGTGTAGGTCGGGTAACGTCACTGTTTACCAGTGTTTCTCAGTGACTTTCTCACTGGCTCTGTTCTAATCCATCACGATTCCAGCAGCTTTTATCTGCTATATATCACAGGTGTTGTTAATCCCCTGCTATTAAACGAATGAACATAGAAAGAACCCCAGATTATATTAATCCCACACTGTAAAATAAACTGCATAAATAATCCCAGGTTATATTAATCTCATGGTGTAAAATGACCCTTAGAAATAAACCCAGGTTAAATTAATCCCCCACTGTAAATTGAACCATATGAATAACCCCGGTTATTTTAATCCCATGCTATAATATGACCTGTAGAAATAATCCCTGGTTATATTAATCCCATGCTATAATATGACCTGTAGAAATAATCCCAATATATATTAATCCCATACTGTAAAAAAGAACCGTATAAATAACCCCAGGTCATTTTTATCCCATGCTATAATATGACCTGTAGAAATAATCCCAAATTATATTAATCCCATGCTATAATCTAACCTGTAGAAATAATCCCAAATTATATTAATCCCATGCTATAATATGGCCTGTAAAAATAATCCCAGATTATAATAATCCCATGCTATAACATGACCTGTAAAAATAATCCCAGGTTATATTAAGACCATGATATAACACAACCTGTATAAATAATCCCAGGTTATGTTAATCCCATGCCATAATATGACCTGTAGAAATAACCCCAGGTTATATTAGTCCCACACTGTAAAATGAACCACATAAATAACCCCAGGTTATATTAACCCCGTGCTATAATATGAACCATAGAAATAATACCAGATTGTATTAATCCTGTGCTATAATCTGAACTCAAATCAAGCCAATATAAACTGTTTTTCATTTTATGCGGTGACGTTGACTGTTGGCTGTAAATTCTAAGCTAATGACACACTGCAGTCACTGAAGGCAGCCCAGCCCAGGTTAAGGTGAAATATTAGATTGAATGTTTGGACAAGTTTTCTTCTTCTTAGAAGATGAACGTATTGTGTGTTGAACTTTTTAGTTCATAAATCAAGTAGCCCCTCCCACCTCTGAGTGAATATCCTGTGTGAATCAGTCATAAACATTACAGACATGCTGTGATAAGATTACGTTACCCTCCTCCCCAGTGCAAACTTAGCAGCATCGTAGCAAACCTTAGATACCAAACATGTCTCGGCTGATCGACTCTGTTCTGGGGTGGATGGGGAAATTGGTGTACATTTGATTTTACAGTAAATGACTTTCAGATTGCTGCCGTTGACCACCACTGTCCTTTGGACCTGAAATCTGATCCTAGACCAGCCATTTCACTCTCTTTGAAACCTGAGACAATTCAAACTGACGATTTAAAATCCGAGCTCAGTCCTAATTTGAGACACTCGGCCCTGTCCGTAGTGCAAAAGAAAATCATTAGCATCCAATTCTGAGGAGGCACAATGCAATTTGAAACAACAGGCCACGTTTAGGAGAAAAAGGACCAAGTACAGGGTCAGAAGCAGCTACGTTCACCATCATCTCACGCTTCAGATTCGTCACTAGGACCACACTGAGGAACCGTCTCAGCTCTGAGTAAGAGAGCGATTTCCACCAGCGCAGAGCTTAAACCCACACCGAGCTTCCTCACTCAGCACACAGCCTCCCCTCTCCTCAAACCGCCATTCAGAAACAAAGCCACAATCAGCAATTAGCGCAACTGGAAAGACAGGTTTCTCACCGCACCGACAACAAAACATGCCAACAACAGCGGTTCCACCAGACTGTTTAGTACTGAACACATGCTTTCTGTTGGCAAACTAGAGCTGATGTACATCTGGGGCAGCTGAGCTCTGACTCTAAACTCCTACCTGAGTCTTTAACCCTTAGAAGCCACAGTTACTACCGGCAATAACAAAAACATGTCGTATTCTGATATTAATAATAGAAAATATATTTGTTGAGCCATGCAGTTCTAACCTGACTAGTGATACAACACCTTCAGAGGGCGACGGTGAGTAACATTTACTTAACGTTTGTTAATAACACATTTAGATGGCGACGGTGAATGACGTTTACTTAATGTTTGTTAATAACACATTTAGATGGTGACGGTGAGTAACATTTATTTAATGTTTGTTAATAACACGTTTAGATGGTGACGGTGAGTGACGTTTATTTAATGTTTGTTAATAACGTTTAGATGATGACGGTGAGTAACATTTATTTAATGTTCGTTAATAACACGTTTAGATGGCGACAGTGAGTAACATTTACTTAATGTTTGTTAATAACACATTTAGATGGCGACGGTGAGTAACATTTAATGTTTGTTAATAACACGTTTAGATGGCGACAGTGAGTAACATTTACTTAATGTTTGTTAATAACACGTTTAGATGGCGACGGTGAGTAACATTTATTTAATGTTTGTTAATAACACGTTTAGATGGCGACAGTAACATTTACTTAATGTTTGTTAATAACACGTTTAGATGGCGACAGTAACATTTACTTAATGTTTGTTAATGACACGTTTAGATGGCGACGGTGAGTAACATTTACTTAATGTTTATTAATAACACATTTAGATGGCGACGGTGAGTAACATTTACTTAATGTTGATTAATAACACATTTAGATGGCGACGGTGAATGACGTTTATTTGACGTTTGTTAATGATGCTTTTAGAGGGCGGCAGGGAGTAACATTTATTTAATGTTTGTTGATAACACCTTTAGAGGGCGATGGGGGGGGTAACATTATTTTATTAAAAATGAATTATGTAATTAATTATGCACTTGCGTCATCAAATATAACTAATATAATGTAAATATAATGTAATGTAAATGAAATGTATTGCAAATGGACAATGTTTACGCTCTCTGAGCTGAGGAGTTCATGCCAAAGCAAGCAATATAAGTGAATATTACACACTATAAAGTAAACGTACAGGAACAGGACAGTAACTCCAGCCTCCTAAGGGTTAAAGTCCCAGAGCTGCTGTTGCTGCTCGGGTGGTTCTGTTTCTGGCTGACCCTCTGAAGGGAGGATGAGTGGAGCGCGGAGCCGGACCGGCTCACCTCCTGTGGGTGTGAAGATGATGCGTGGCGCTGCCAGCTGCTGTTGAGCAGCGAGCCGACCGACACCCACCCATTCGCTCTGCTTCTGCTCTCCTCTGGGAGACGGAGGCGAGAGCGGTGGGCCTGCAGGAGATCTGACCACGTGCTGGACGCTCTGAACGCGAACACGCACCCACCCACACCAGCGAGCACCCGGGAGTTCATGTGCTTGGGAAACATACGCTCACTGCCCATCAAAAGTTTGGGGACACCTCGAGCCCTGCTACATAAGATTGACATAACCCTGCCATTATACATTTAACCCCTTTTCAAAGTAGCCATAGTAGCTGTTGTGAAGGTCCCTCACTTAAACTATCCATTTTTTCCCGTTAATAACACTGACTGAATATCTTCACTAGCAGCTCAACACAGAGTCACACACAGAGAGCCAAGTTAATCCAAATGATTATTACTCTGTAACTACAGGACCTTCAATGTAAACTGGCTGAGCTATTCTTAGGTTATAGAAGTGTGTAATAAAACTTTGGCCCTGGCTATTTAAGGGGTTAATCTGATAACAGAGTTAAGGGGAAAACAGTTTGTTTCATTATTTTCATTAAAAACAGTTGTTTTCCATTCTGCTGGTGGAATGAGCACCACGGGGCCTGGAGCCAGAGATTAAAGAACTACTGTGTCTGTACGTTGACTAAACTAAAAAAAAGTGGTGCTTTATTACTTTTGATGGTATGAGTAGCTGTGTTGATACGACACCATGCACTAAACCCGGAGTTCCTGACTTTCCTCCTGACTTTCCAAGTAGGAATTCCTGTTTTCTTTGGTTTCTGAGTTACGAGTTCAGTCAAACGCAGCATAATCCACCTTTGGGCCAAAAGAGCCTCAGTATGCAATTCATTGTTTACAATCTGCTGTTCGCTCCAAGAATCTGATGAACATGAAGATAAATATACCCAAAGCATTGGCACTTAAGTAAGCTGCTTAAGTAAAACTCGGCAAATATTACAAGAAGGTAAAGTGTACCCCAATTTTTATGGGCAGTGTATACACAGCCAGAACTGGCTAATCTATGGGCAGAATCAGATGCATTTGTTCACGGTTGCAGCAACATGAGCCAGTATAACATCCCCACAGTGGGCGGTTGCTCCATAGCCGAGCATACGCAACATTGCTAGTCATGTAGTCTTTTGTTTTGCTTGATAGACCTGAAAGAGGAAAGGAGCACGAAGGGTCTGAGGCAACTGCATCCTGTCAGAAACCGCTCGCCTGCTTTAGGGCTGATCTGAGGTCAGCACGCTGAGCCACGCTGAGCTCAGAACCTCTGCTGTACAGTGATGGGGAAGTGAAACTATCAGAGCCCCCTGCTTCACTTCCTTCAGCGCAAATAAACGGCCAAACGTTTCATAAACAGCCTGCATTTGCTGTGCTTGGATGGCTGGAAGGTCTGCAGAGCTGCACGGCCTGTAGAAGTGTGTGATGTATATTCGCTCCATTTGTATGGACGGTGGGCATAAGGCCTTCAGAAATAGATGGCCGAGCGTTTAAACTTTAAACAGCATGGGTTTTAGATGGACGGGCTGCGTGAGCTTCATGTGTGTTGGTGTCTGAGAGTTTTTCGAAAACATAGAGTGAGGGCGGCTGAGCGCTGGGCTGAAGCGGAGCGTGGGAACGGCAGAGGTGGTGTTGGTTCGTGTCCAAACACGCGCTAAAAAAAGAAATGAAAACAATACCAATAACTCGGTACTAGCGAACCGGCACTTCTCTTTTAAACAGGAAAACAGGCCACTTTGCGAAGCACATTCAAAAGGGAATTCCACTTATTTTGACACATTTCTGCACAATTTAATGCATATTATGTAGGGTCATCCACAGAGGTTTGGTGTGAAATGCTCCCCTTTAGATAATCTGCAGAGCTGTTCACAGTGGTGGTGATAGGAACCAGACATCCACCTCTGAAAGCACCCTCACAGAAAGTTATTACACTAAATACATTGATGGTCAAGACATTGAGGCTAGTTTTCCAAAGTTTTGACCACCACCGAGTCTCTACAGTGAACCGTCTCACACTCTGAATGACTCTGTTTGCACTGAATTATGCAGAAATGTTCGATTCCACTTTAATCGTCACGAGATGATGTGGCGCATACCTGTGCACAGGTGTGTATGAGTACAGAGAAGAAGGGTGTGTATCTCACAAGACATGCGCTTCCAAGAAGTACAGTAAAGAGTAATGAACAATCCAGGCTTCATCTTCCTGCTGCAAATCTGGGCCTTTACGCTTTGACCTTACAAGCTAAATTTCCTCGCCGACTCGCTTGTTAAAGGAAAGATTCACTGCATTTTCAAAATCACACGAATCACATCTCAAGGAAAGGCAGCTGGCTGATATTCTTGCCTTCAAGAGTTTCAGCATGCTTTCAGCTTTGAGTTGCACTGGGAACACTAGCAGCTGAACAGACTGCATTAAACAAGTATAACTAGTGGTCAAATTGTTAGAGAAAGTGGGGCTGGTGGGTTCAAACGGAATCTCAAATAAGGACGAAGGGCCCATATCTATTATTCTTGTATTTTAAGTCCACATAATTTATATCTATAACCATGTTCTGACTTTTCTTTATGCCTTAAAATTAAACTACTGTGCCTTTAAGGCTGATATATGTAAACGAGCTCTGTTCTGATTGGATGGCCTCATTCTAAAAGCAGTCCAGGCTGAAACACCCCTTATAACTTCAGTGTAAATGGGCAGAGCTAATCTGATCTAGGCTGAAAAAGCAGATATATGTAAAGGTGCTGGTTTTCGTGACATCAAAAAGCTGTTTTTGCAGCTTAATTCCCATATATTGTCTGCAGAGCGAACAATATATCTTTAAAAGTGTTTCATTTTAAGCGTAAAATTGAGGATCTTTGTTTTGCAGTTTGTGACCAAAATATAGAACCACTCCACTATGGTGTGATTAGCTCGTTAGCAGTGACTTGGCACGTTAGCTGTGGCTAACGATACTGTTTTTAGAATGAGGAAACGCTGAAGAGGAGTACTTTCAGCTTTGCTTCTGCTTTTTTCTGTGTTCGTTCACGTTTGACTTGTACAAAACGTCACGCCCAAGCTGCGTTGCGTGTTTGGGCATTCTTTTTTTAAAACTGGTGCACCGTAAAATGATTTGGACTGATTTTATAGAACTTCAAACAATAAGATAACAGACAGTAACTCCCTGATTACTGTCCTGTTAACTTACTATTAGAACTTCTGGCATCTCTTACACAGTGATAGGCAACACAGTAACGCGCAGAAAGAGCTGATTCACCCTCGACATGCACAGGCCGTAACTCCTCTGGCAGCAGAGTTACATGTGTTAAAGGGACCATCTCCAAATTCTCAGAATGGATCTCCAGTGAGACGTTTGGTTTGCTAGCTAAGTTAAAACGACAGATCTGTTTTTTACAGTACGAAGGATCGCCCCTTCAGAAGCCACAGCACTTGTGCAATCAGACGACCATGCAAATTTCACCGAAGCTGAACTCGAACTGAGCTGCCGAAAGTCTGTCATGTGAAACCCTTGAAACAGGCAGTGTAGGTGGAAGGTCAGGCTGCAGTTTAGCCTTCCGTCAGGAAAACAGCTCATACGCTCGGCAGCTGGAAGCACATGCAGACGTCTGAAAACGGAATGAATCTTTCCTTTAACAGCTGCTGAAATGCAAACCTACAATAAGACTGAGTTTGGGATTATATACATGGCTGTATGTGTGTATGTGAATGTAAAACTCTCTCATCTCCTGAGCTCATTGGCAAAAACACATGTTGGCAAACTCTTCATGTATCCGTGCGTGTGTGAGTGTGTGTGTGTGAGTGTGTGTGTGTGAGTGTGTGTGAGTGTGTGTGTGTGTGTGTGTTTTGTCCTATTTGAGCGCTTTTACGACGGTCGCATAGGCGATGTGTATTTCGTTGTCACTCGGACAGGTGGAGGAGAATTCCTCTCGTGCGTAGGCGGCGTCCAGGTATCGCCATAGCGACGCGAGGGTGCGAGGGATGGTGAAACCCCGATACTTCTCACAGACCACCTGAGAGAGAGAGAGAGATTAGAGATATTGTACTGTAAGACCTACATAAAGGAAAGCTTCACTGCCTTAAGCTCTGAAAATGTCACGTCACAGTGTGTTTAAACTTCAATAACTTTACAGCCGTTTGATATATCAACAAACCTCAAGTTCTACATTAAACTAGAGACGCTGAGCTTTCCAACAACATGCCATATGGCACTGTGTGGCGTATCTCCCTGTCAAATTCCAGGCCCTACTTCTGCGGAGTCAGCTGTACTGCCTCTCCATTAGATTACAGTATATACAGATCAGTCGCTGCTGTCGGAACAAAACCTCGTATCTCCATTTTTGACGTTTTTTCCATTTTTGACATAATTTAATAAATATTTGAACATTCATAAAAGTTTAAAAGAAATTATATTAGGATTTTGGAAAAGCAAATTAGCTCCTCTCTAATGTTAGGTGTTCTCATATTGAAGAACTCTGAGATGTCTGAACTCTCTCTCTACTCCTCCAGGGGGTTGTGAAGAGCGTGTATCTTACACTTTGGTCAGAGTTTCTTATCTGCTTAGTCCAAACAAGGAAGCAGAGAAAGACTACTGCAGCCGACTAAAGGCTACTGCACAGCAGGCGAGAGGCGTTACGCTGCCAGGGGGTCTCTGGCCGATAGTACAAACATCACTATAGCACATAAGAAAAGCGCAGATAAATAAGAAGCACAAGCCTGACATTTGAATGGTTTTTAATCATTTTATTGAGAAATTCGAATATCAAATTTGACTGAAAGCGAATACTAAGTTCAGATATCTGTATATTTGAAAAAAACTACAGAGCACCAGTCTGTTACCTTGACGATGTGTAGCTTGGGCAGCAGGTTGCAGTCGGCCAGTGTGAGCTCCTGACCGTCCAGGAAGGGGCGGGTCGACGTGGTGACATCATCGGCACTGTTCTCGTCAATCTCATCAGGTAGAGGAGAGCTTAGATAATCGTCCAGCTTCTTCAGAGCCTTCAGCAGGCCTTTCTCCAGGTCTGCACACACACACACACACACACACACACACACACAGAGCATTACAAACGCTTAATACGGTTTACCACAAATGAAGTCTAGACTAAAACTGTCTCTCCAGAGTGGCTATAATGAGGCTGTGGACTGTGATTAGTCCATGTTTTGTAAACTGTGTGTGTGTGTGTGTGTGTGTGTGTGTGCGTATGTGTGTGTGTGTGTGTGCGTGTGTGTGCGTGTGTGTGTGCGTGTGTTTGTTAACGGGAAGTTGGTGTTTGGCTGTAATCCTGGAACATTGGATTTGGATTAGGTCTGGCACACACATTTATAGAGCAGGTACCTTTAAATCCCCTAAACTGAACTAAACCACAGGCTTGGCCAGTTTGGCGTAGCCACTGTGAACCGCCCAGTCTGTTTTAGCACAGTGTTTATGAAGAGTCAGTGAAGGGTTTAACGCAACTGAGCTGGACAATCACTGCATTTCAGTCCAGACTAAAATACATAGCAGTTACTGAATCATTTAAAATAGATATTGATTCACTCATAGCAGTTACTGAATCATTTAATATAGATACTAAATCATTCATAGCAGCTACTGAATCATTTAAAGTAGATATTAAATTATTTGTATTTATTACTGAATCCTTTAAAATAGGTATAAAATCATTCATAGCAGTTACTAAATCATTTAAAATAGATATTAAATAAATTGTAGCAGTTACTTTATCATTTAAAATAGATATTAAATCATTCGTAGCAGTTACTGAATCATTTAAAATAGATACTAAATCACTCATAGCAGTTACTGAATCATTTAAAATAGATATTAAATCAATTGTAGTTACTGAATCATTTAAAATAGATACTAAATCACTCATAGCAGTTACTGAATCATTTAAAATAGATATTAAATCAATTGTAGTTACTGAATCATTTAAAATAGATATTAAATCAATCGTAGCAGTTACTGAATCATTTAAAATAGATATTAAATCATTCGTATCAGTTACTGAATCATTTAAAATAGATACTAAATCACTCATAGCAGTTACTGAATCATTTAAAATAGATATTAAATCAATTGTAGCAGCTACTGAATCATTTAAAATAGATATTAAATCAATTGTAGCAGTTACTGAATCATTTAAAATAGATATTAAATCAATTGTAGCAGTTACTGAATCATTTAAAATAGATATTAAATCATTCATAGTGGGTACTGAATAAATCACTGAAAAAGTCATAGCAGTTACTGAATGTTTTTACAGTAGCAAATACTAAATAATCATTAGTAGTTACTGAAGTGTATAATAGATTCTGAATTATTATCAGATTCATGACAGATACTGAATGATTTGAAGGAGATACAGAATAATTTATAAAAAAATGCTAAAATGTTCAAAACAATACAAAACCTTACATTCTGCTAAAATATTTTAGGCAAGACTTTCCTACCATTTATCTGTAATTTTGAATACTCATTCTCTGGGAAAGTCCCAGCAGAGTCCAGCAGATATGACTGTCCAGAACAGTCTGTATGAGCATAACCAGCTCCTACACTCAGTCCTAAATTTAACCCATTATTTCATTGTTGAATAGAATGAGACATTCTGGAGTAGCCACACAAGGTCACCATGTCTAATGCCAAGCGTGGGCCAGAGGGGTATAAAGCCGCCCAGCATTGGGCTTTGAAGCAGTGGAACTGTGTTCTCTGGAGTGATGGAGCTCCAACACCTTTGTGATGAGTTAGAGTGATCCACCAACATCAGTACCTGACCTCACTAATGCTCAATCAATTCCTCACAGCAATGTTCCACCATCTAGTGTAAAGCCTTCCCAGAAGAGTAGAGGCTGTTACTGCAGCAAAGGAGGAATAAACTCCCTTTTAATACCCTTCATTTCAGATGAAACGCTGTGAGTTTTGGACATACACTGTAGCCACTATCGGTCAGAGCTCTTCGGCTGGGGTCCATGAACCTGCCCATCTGTCAAATTCAATGTTTTTTATCTGTTTCTCTATCTTTGCGATAATACAGTGCAGAAATATGGTTCAAATATTTCCTGAATCTGTAGAGTCGCCCTTTCCATTCCACCAAATTGCAAGATCACACGTGACTCACAGCTGGAGTTATGAGCCTGTGAAGAGGGGCTGAGATACATGTCATCTGCCTCTCACTGTGTATAATTGGTGGATTTGTCTGTCTGTCTACATTCTGTGTGAAACTGACCAATGGACATTCGGAAAATCACTAAGCACTGACCATCACACCGGAAACCCTTCATTCTTCATTCAGCCCACATCCGAGACACATGTGAAATGGTGTGCAGAGAGTTTACAGCTGCTGAAGTTGGTGAAGCAGTTTTGGAAATTAGCGACACAGTTAATGAGGCATTTTGGTATGAAACATATGGAGATCATTTTATATCCAAGACGCTTTAAATGAGAATTTAAGAAGATATGCACAAATTGAGAAAATGCCCTCAGACCCCAGAGGGTTAACAGTGACCAATCAGTTTTAAATCTGGTCAGTATGACCTCTTGAGCTACTCTACCGTGTAATATCACCCCACTGACCTCTCGTTCTATTGACACACTTTTATCTCCAGAATGTTCTCTATGAAGATGTACTGCTTACTGTCATTCATCCCTGGGTTGGAGTTCTTGATGTAGGCTGAGAACTTGGAGAACACGTCCATGCCAGCGGTGTTGGACTCTGGGTTTCGCGCAGCCAGGCGTGGGTACCTGCAGTGAGGGGAGTGGGGGTCCGTGACCAGAGAAATACCAATGAAGATTAGAAATAGGAATAACACACAAAACAACAAGTTGCACAATAAAATCTCAAAAAATTATGAAACCTTTAAAGTGATTTTCAGTGACAGTTTAAACTAAAATTAAATCTACACAGACTTCCTCCTCAGTGCAAATGAGGTCAGTCAGCTGAGACGTGTTCTCCATGACCTACTGCTAAAAGTCCAGATGAAACTCAGGCCTCAGTGCTGCTACACTGTACAAACCCTGGGCTCTGGGAGAGACAGGTCTAGGCTGACCGTCTGTTGAGACATTATATTTTATAGCGGTCAGCCTGAGAACGATGGCTAATGAAGGAAGGATTCAGTGAACGAATGATTACTTGGGAGGGCTGAGGTGCTCCTCCAGAAACTCCTCGATCTTGTTGGTGTCTGTCTTCACTTCCCTCCCGTACAGCAGGAACGGGGGCTGAGCTCCAGGAGCCAAATCCTTCAGGATATCAGGCTTCCTGCAGAGAGAGAGAGAGAGAAGAGACAGAGAGAAAGACAGAGGAGAGAGAGAGAGGGAGACAGAGAGAAAGAGAGAGAGACAGAGAAGAGAGAGAGAGAGAGAGAGAAAGAGAGGAGATAGACAAAAGAAAACAGAGAGAGTGAAAGAGAAAAAGAGAGAGAATGAAAAAGAGAAAGAGTGAGAAAGAAAGAGAGAGAGGAAAAAGAGAGGAACAAAGAAAAAGAGACAGAGCGACACAGACAGAGAGAGAGAGATAGAGAGAGAGATAGAGAGGGGCGGAGAAAGAATGAAAGAGAAAGAGAGAGAGAGATAGCGGGAGAGAGACAAAGAAAGAGAGAGGAAAAGAGAACATAGAGAGGAAGAAAGAGAGAAAAAGACAGAGAAACAGACAGAGCAAGAGAGAGAGAGAAACAGATAGAGCGAGAGAGAGAGACGGGCGAGAGATCATTTCTCTATGTGGCCAAATAACATTAATATCCTCAGTCCAGTCAGAATTACTACATGATCTCCTGATCACTGTTTAGGCTGACCTGTGAGATCACAGCGTGAACAGCGTGAGCTGGTCGAGGTGAGCAGATGTAAATGAAGGACAGTAAACACATCACTCAGACGTCATCAGGCTTATCAGAGCAGAAAATTATCTTATCTAACTTCTGACCTGGAGCTCTAACTGATGTAGAGAGCAGCGCTGAGTAATGTTAGTTAGCCATATAGCTAATGCTGGCGTTTTAGCGTGTAAGCTGGCAGAATGATTTTTTTTTGCTTATATTTTCACATTCAGCTTCACTCGACTCCACACAGAATCCTGCAGATGTTTGTGTGAGTGTCTGCAGTATAACCAGTGTTAGCTTCCAGGTAAACACAGCTAGCAAGCAAGGAGGCCAATCAGCCAATCTGGCCATTTTAGGTTGACAGTTAGAAGAGGCTTATCGTGGTCAGCTAGACTGTTCTGACCAATTCTGAAATTAGCTAAAGTTTATTCTGAATATGTTTCACGGTTGAATACATAAGAGAGAGCAACAGAATTCTTGATAGACAAAATTCATATAATGCTGCAATTATACAGCATGACGCCACACGAAACAATGTTTACATATATATATAATTATATATCGTTATTGTTGGGCAAAAAGATTGTATTTCTATTTAAGCCAATTTTTACTTTTTTGCATAATTGCAAAACTCTAATTACTCCTTGCATTATGATAAATCTTATTAAATTACATTCACTAGAAATTAATAATGTTTTTTCTATCGTAAAGTTATGAATTTAGACGTTCTGTTTACAAGTTACTAAAGTTTTTCTTTCTATCGTAACGTTATCATTTTGGATGTTTTGTTTACAAGTTACTAAAGGTTTTTTCTTTCTATCATAAAGTTATAATTTTGGATGTTTTGTTCACAAGTTACTAAGGTTTTTTCTTTCTATCGTAAAGTTATCATTTTGGACGTTTGTTTACAAGTTACTAAAATTTTTTCTTTCTATCATAAAGTTATAATTTTGGATGTTTTGTTTACAAGTTACTAAAGTTTTTTCGTTCTATTGTAAAGTTATGATTTTGGACGTTTGTTTACAAGTTACTAATGTTTTTTCTTTCTATCGTAAAAACGTTATCATTTTGGATGTTTTGAAGTTACTAAAGTTTTTTTTTATATCGTAAAGTTATTTTAGACTTCTGTTTAATAGTTAATAAAGTTTTTTTCTTTGTATGGTAATCATTTTGGACATTTGTTAACAAGTTAATAAACATATATATATTACATTTTTATGCTAAATGGACCAACAGAAATGCTCCAAAAAAACTTGCTGTTGTTGAAAACCTTGTTGATTAACTTCCACTCATAGTTAAGAAAGTTCTTCCCTCTCCTTTAAAGCTCCCACCATGTAGATTCAAGGTTTTGTCACAACAGCAACACTTCCAAATTAAAAAACATGTCATTTGACCAGGGGGGCAGAAACTTTTGCATACGGTTGTACGTGTCAGCGATATACTCACCTCTTCATATCGACTGTAGTGACGTTAAACGTCACTCCCTTCAGCCACAGCACCATGAAGAGCCTCTGTGAGAAGGGGCAGTTCCCAATGCTCTGTCCATCACTGCCCGCCTGCACAGAGAAGACAATACAGAGTCCTGTTATCACCTCATATCAGCTTCCTGACCACCATCACACACTGCAGGACACACAATACATCACACAGAAACATCCATCACAACATAAAACAGCAAAGCTCACAGACGAGCAGGAGGCGACTGTACTATAGCCTGAATACTGAAACAGACATGCCTGTTGATGATGACATTAATAAATTAAACAGATCAGGTCAGTGTAACAGACTGTGGTCAATCACACCCACATCAGCTTTATATCGTGACGACACGGTACCTCGAATATCGTCCAATACCAGTCTGACATTTGTTCCCGAAAAATGAAACTATTTTAACTGAAACATTTGACTTTCCATGTAGAAATAATGACTCAGCCAACCTTCTCCTGATTCTGACGTAGTATCTCAAAATATGACTTATTTTCTCAAACATTTGACTTACTATGTCAAAATACTAACTCATGTTCTCATTATACTGACTTAGTATCTCATAGACTTTTTTCCTCAAAATGCTGACATATATCAAAATAATAACTTCTTGAAAGTTACTGTGACTTCCTGTGTCAAACTAATGAAATAATTATTTTAAGATACAAAGGCAAAACACTGAGAATACGTCATTGTTTTGAAGTAACTGGTAAATATTTTGAAGAAATAGCCAGTAGTTTGGGATACTAAGTAAACATTTTGAGAAAATAAGTCGTTATTTAAAGTTGTTAAGCCCAATGTTTGAGAAAATAAGTTGTTATTTAAAGTTGTTAAAACCAATGTTTGAGAAAATAAGTCGTTATTTAAAGTTGTTAAGCCCAATGTTTGAGAAAATAAGTCGTTATTTAAAGTTGTTAAAACCAATGTTTGAGAAAATAAGTCGTTATTTAAAGTTGTTAAGCCCAATGTTTGAGAAAATAAGTCGTTATTTAAAATTGTTAAAACCAATGTTTGAGAAAATAAGTCGTTATTTAAAGTTGTCAAGCCCAATGTTTGAGAAAATAAGTCGTTATTTAAAGTTGTTAAGCCCAATGTTTGAGAAAATAAGTTGTTATTTAAAGTCGCTAAGTCCAGTGTTTGAGTAAATAAGTCATGATTTAAAATTTTAAAGTTTTTTTCTGAGATAAGAGGTAAATTTTATAATAAGTAAATATTGTTAATAAAATTATTATTCAAAAAATAAGTCACTGTTCTGAAATTTTAAGTAAATATTTTGAGAAAATAAGTCATCAGTTAGAGATATTAAGTCAATAGTTTGAGGTAATGAGGCACTGTTTCGAGTCCAAATTTCAAGAAAGGCATTATATCAACACAGTAAGTCAATATTCAGAGAAATTAAGTAATTATTCTGAGTATGAGTGAACATTTCCAGAAACAGTGAAAGCAGAAATGAAACTGCAGGTTATGTTTTCCTCTCTGTAGTTATACAGTCATATAAAAGCAGTGTTATTGTTGTCGTAACATTTTTATTATTCCTTTTATTACAACATTCTTCCTGTTAGTATTGTTTGTTGTTGTAACATCTTTATTACATTATCATTACTGTTTATTGCAGGTGTATTAAAGCTGTTGGCTGTTGAATCATCATTATTATTATTATTATCATCATTATTATTTTGATTATTATTATTATCATAATTATTCTAATAAATATCATGCCATGTCCAGTTGGCCTACTCCTCCACTCTGAGCTGCAGGACACTGAAAAACCTCTAAAGCTCCTTTCAGACTTTCAGTGGGCCAGTAAACAATGACCGCTTTCATGCTCTCTCTCTCCCTCTCTCTCTCTCTCCCTCTCTCTCTCTCTTTCTCCCTCTCTCCCTCTCTATCTCTCTCTCTTCCTCTCTCTCTCTCTCTCTCGCTCATACACACACACACGTTTTTTTTGCTACACTTGTGAGGACTTACATAGGTTTTTATTAATTTTTGCACTACAGTAGCCTAATAATGCTACACCCACACCTAAACCTACCCTAGGGTTAGCCTCAGTATCCAAAAGGCAATCTTTCTGCTCTACTGGGTTCTCAAAGAGAAAGAGAGTCATTTGTAGAGGACACAACACGTGCTCAAGTGAGCCCTGCTGAAAACACCTAAAGAAACCATCAAATGTTTCTGTTGGTTCCTGATAGTTCTGTAATGTATTCTGGCTTATCTGATGGTTTGATATCACAATGTAAACGATCCTAATTTGTTCAACAGGTGACCACTGGCTAAGTCTAAATACATTTAATGGTTTCCTAATGGGTTCTAAATGTGTTCTAGAGGAAACTAGTGGTGTTTGGTCTAGGTTTAATCCCAGTGGTCTCAAATGGACCTTTTTCAGCAGGGATGACCAGCAAAATGTCCTCAGTTGAGCCCAAAGGTCACGTCCTCCTAGCAGACATGTGGTCCTCACGAGTATAGCAAAACAATCAGTGAGCGCAGTGTGTTTCTCAGGACTTCAGACTGAAGTTCGGCTCACATTTACCGCGCTTACATCGCTTCCTCTCAGAGCCAACGCCCCAAACCCCAACACAGCTCCTACACACAGGCCAGTAACACTGAACAAACAGCACATCTCAGCGCCTGACCACTCTGACCACTCTGACCTGCAGCCCAGGCGCTCAGCGGCAGCTTTACAAGCCGGACAGCCGCACCTTGCGTTCCTTATCAGGTACCTTATCTCTGAGTTTATTCAAAGCTCCACTCAGAGCTCCGTCAGCTGCTCTGCAGGGTTTCAATCAGCTGATATCGGCCGCTCTGAGCGCCACTCCGGCCCATTATTCTCACATTTGGCTGCTAAACCGGGTTAAACAGTCCTACACTCAGCTGGCCTCCTGGCCCTGATGACCATCTGTTACAATGGAGAGGGAAACTCAGCCTCACCTTCACGAAAAGTTCCACCTCGGGTTGACTTTCGTCGCTCATGTCGCTCAGATCTGCGCAAAACGCTCAAAAGCCCCGAATAATAAACCGAACCAACTTCTGCAGCGCCGCGCGTCTCCCGCTGTGCGTCCCCGACTCGAGTTGACTTCCGCTCCGCCGCAGCCCGCCTGGCTGTTTCTTTTCCCACCCGTATTCCGTCCAGCCCCGCCCCTCCTGCGCTGGGATTGGCCGATGGATCATGCTTGACGTTCTAGAGCGCGAAACGGATTGGCCAGTAGACCCTACGTCACAATCAGCCCGCCGTTCCAGAGGCCCAACCCTCCCTGCGCTACGATTGGCTAGTTTGCAAAGTGTTCCAGAACGGGACTAATCCTAGCTCAGGAGGAGGGGTCTAGCAGCTAATCGCGCTGCAGGACAGACTACGCTACAGCCAATCACAGAGCAGGAGGGGCGGAGCTAGCCAATCCTAGATGAATTTGAAACAAGGCTCCAAATTTGCTATTTAGTGAACTAAGTAGGGAGCAGGGAAGTGCTTTAGATTGAGAATCGTGTTGTTTTACAGTATAGCATGTTACTTTTTAGCTTTTAATCATGTTTAATTAGATTTTCCATTCATATGCAAACATCTGTACACTCCTGGTCAAACTGCATGTTTTGTTGATGTTCTAAGCCATTTGATAAGTAAGTTAACCCATCTTCTTTGGGGACGGCACTTAAATATGGCATTGTCTGCGAATTTCTGCATCATTTTTATTGTATTTTAGTTTAACATTTTGAGAAAAATAAATAAATCATAAAAAGTGGCCTGTGTAAAAGTTTTTTATATATATTTTACAGTTTATATTTATGTTTTCTTTTTTCTCAATATTTCAATTAGGACTCTGGAACCCTAGCACACTAGGAGCTTAAGGTTCTGGGAACTGAAAAGTTTGAGCCTGATATCATAGGACCCTGGGAACATTGGATGCCGATAACTTAGGACCTGGTAACATAGGGTCCTAACAAAGTGCCCTGGGAACATAGGACCCTGGGAACGTAGCACCCTAGGGCTTAAGTACATAGGGTCCTAGGAACACAGGACCCTGGGAACATTGGGTGCTGAGAACCTAGGACCTGGTAACATAGGATCCTAACAAAGGGCCCTGGGAACATAGGACAATGGGAACGTAGCACCCTAGAATCTTAAGTTTCTGAGAACAGGATCCTGGGAACCTAGAGCCTGGAAACTTTAGGCCTGAGAACATAGGGTCCTAGGAACACATGACCCTGGGAACACTGGGTGCTGAAAACTTCGAAACTGGTAACATAGGGTCCTAAAAAAGGGCTCTGGGAACATAGGACCCTAGGAGCTTAAGGCTCTGGGAACTTAGGGTCCTGGGAACCTAGGGCCTAGACACTTTGGGCTTAAGAACATAGGGTCCTAGGAACACAGGACCCTGGAAACATTGGGTGATGAGAACTTAGGACCTGGTAACATAGTGTCCTAACAAAGGGCCCTGGGAACGTAGGACCCTGGAAACATAGCACCCTAGGAGCTTAAGGTTTTGGGAACTTGGGCCTGGAAACTTTGGGCCTGAGAACATAGGGCCTGGGAACACAGGACCCTGGGAACACTGCACCACAGGACCCTGGGAACATAGCACCCTAGGAACTTAAGGCTCTGGGAACCTAGGGCCTAGACACTTTGGGCTTGAAAACATAGGGTCCTAGGAACATAAGGCCGGGAACACAGGACCCTGGGAATACTGGGTACCGAGAACTTAGGACCTGGTAACAATGGGCCTTAACAAAGGGCCCTGAGAACATTACTCAAATAAAAATAGTAAATATAATAGATTTTAAAAAAATTACCTTAACTCAAAATATTCTAAAAATGAGTTACTGTGTCAACAATTCATGGACATTTTGAGTTAGTTTCCTGTTTTCCAACAAAATTTCTGTAGTATTTAAGTTGCATTAACCTAATCCTTTCATTAAGATATGCAGTTGGGCAATAAACAAACACACATGTTTACTTTGATGCACTTTAGCCGTTGCAGTGTAAAACCAACCGAACCAAAAAAAAACATACAATGCCACGAAAACCCAAACTATAGTTTGAACTTTAGCAACTCAACTGGATGTGAAAACTGCCCGAGACCCTTAAGAAGGTCTGTCTCGATCGGTCCAGTCCGCTTGAAATATGAACACAACACAGACCAAAGACATAGTGTTGTAGTACTCAAGATCAGTCTTTGAGAAGAGACCGCCTCAGTCACGACCTCACTGGGACTCGGTCTTGTCTCGGTCTCGGGGTAAGGCGGACTCGGAAATTGTTGTTCAGACCAGCCGAGTGTGACTCCATCTGAGGTAACTGGAAACTGAATTATTATTGAATATCAACAAAACAAGAAGAAACAGAACAAAACAGTCCTTTCTCTGCATCAGGGGTTCACAAACTTTTGCAACTCACGGCCCACACAAACGACACAAACGGCACAAAAGCCTCCACAGACTTAAGCGATCAAATCGTCTTGTTCTCACCTAAAGAGAAGACTGACTTGGCAGTTACTGAGAGCTGCATGTCAGAGAGGAAAGCTGCAAACAGAGTTTTGGCTCAATTCGACAGATTTAGATACATATTCACTGTGTTTAGTCTCTGATTGATGGTGTAAGTTGTTGGGTTTCAAAGCTTCATTTGAAACGACCCCTGAGCAAACAGCACCAAGCAGTAGTTAGTTAGCATATCACTGCTGTCAGAACAAAACATGTATCTCTGTTTTTGTCGATTTTCAGTTTTTCTCAGAATTTGAAAATGCCTGTTGCCCTTTACATTCTGTGTGAATTTCATGATGAATGGACCAAAAGAAACGGCCCAAAACGACTTGGAAAAAATTCTGGTTCCATTGACTTACACTAAAAGTAAAGCATGTTTTTTCCTTCTCCTGTAAAGTTACCATTTTGGAGATACAACAAATAGTTTGGGTTCTCTGAGGCTGAGGCACACTTGAAGTCATTATAAAATACTCGATAATCACATTTGACTGCACACAAATTATATTACACATAACGGCGCCAAGGCGTCTCCGTTTTGTAGAAGCAGTGATTCACTCATAGCTGTTACAGGGACTTTACCCTGCTTCACGTCATGCGAGATCACTGTAACGCAGGAAGTCTTGTAAAAGTCTGTAAAATCAGACGACAGATAAAACTAGACATAAATAAAACCAGTGAGCCCAGATAGAACAGAGAACTGCACGATTCAGAGAGTTGTCATTATCACTGTTATTGTATGTCATAAAATCTGTCCAATCAGTTGTGAACTTTTATTCGTATGACTTTTGGTGCAGAGTGAAAAAAACAAGTGAACCAAAATGCAGCTGTGTGTCACTTTCTGCTTTAGTCTGGATGAAGGAAACCAAACAGGTATAAATGCAGCCTCAGTTTGTTCTGTTCAGATGTATCTGGCATCCACTGTCTTATCTCGCAGCTGAACTTTGAATATTCAAAATTCAGCCACAAGGTTCTCGCTCACATATCAGAACACATCACCCCTCATTCCACGGTATCAGTGCCCAACGGTCATTTGAAAAGTTTTCATGTTCAAAGCTTCACAGTTTTTTGTGCTCCACGGTTTCAAAATCACATTGATCTTATCAGGAAAACCCAAATTTTCTTACCTCACTGACCATTTTTATATTTTTGTGCAAAGTAACTAGTCATGCCGAGTATAAGTACATGTTTTTAGTACTCGCCGATACTGAGTCCGGTACCATAATGAAATAAGGAAGTCATTCTTACCTGTGGCCATCAAACTGTATAACTCCTTCCTCAATGTGTGACACTATGGTTCACCTTTGCAATACTCAATACCAAATTGTACTGTTCATATGTGTAATAATAATAATAATGTAATGATTTTTTTAATTATGTGTGCAATAACTCAGAGGTGCAATCATTTAACCTGCTTTATACAGTATATTTCATATTTATTATCACAGCCACTGTCATTTAAACGTGTACATATTGCAAATTTCACTTTTGTTTTAAATGATTTGTTTTAAATTATTAGAGTGTTTATTCTTTTAAATAAATGGTTGCAACTGTAATAACTGCAATTTCCCTCTGGCATCAATAAAGTATTCTGATTCTGATTCTGATGAACAACTTACTCAGAATCAGAGGTGTAAAATTCAGGTCCAAAAAGTAACAATCCTTCCCAGGATTTTGTTCCAACTGCCTGGACAGCTCTGCTGGTGGTTTCCGTTGGAACAGCTAATTTTAAATGAAGTGCATTAGCTAGCTATGCTACATTAGTTAGCTTGAATCGAATAGTGCTGCGGGTGAGAAGAGCGGGTTTAGTTCCACATCAGAAAAGTGCTTTTGTACAGCTGTTCATAAAGTATGTTTCATAGTTTTGATCCTGTGTCTTTCAACAGCAGCAACAGCGACAGCAGGAATCACATCCGAGGCTAACACATCCGATGAGCTCACTTGTAAAGTTTTACATCTTCTCAGAGTTTTTTTATTTGGCTGGTTGAGCTGTAGTTGACTGTCCTCTAAAGCCAGACACACATTTCGGAAACCTTGTTCTTTGGTGACTCACACTGTATGTTTGAATAGACTATCGTCTATTGATGAAGCCTACGATTTATATACTTACACTGTACATAAAAGCTCAGTGTAATTGACCTGATACATGACAACATAAAGCTGTTTCATTCACAATAACACACTGAGGACTGAGTACTGAGCAAACATGCTGCTATAGCAGCTTTGCTAACACCGGGCACTGAAGCTAAGCCAGGTGGTGATGTCCACGGTAGGACAATATGGTCTCTCTACAGCCTATTTTACAAAGACAATAAAAATCATAAATCATAAAAAATCACTATGTTAAAGTTCATACTTCACCATTCTGTTCAGTCAGACTAAAGTTGACATATATAGACTTTGGTGGCAAATGTCAAGGTTTTCGCCTCTGTTTTGCTAGCCTACATATCTCCACCCGTGTTAGAGAAGGTAAGGCAAAGCAAGGCAAGTTTATTTATATAGCACCTTTCATAACCTGCTGTCATTCAAAGTGCTCTACAAATGAAAAAATAGAATCAGAAAAAAAGTAAACGCAACTAGAAAAACGTTGATTTAGTAAGATCAGAGTCCATCAGTACACCAAGGTTACGTGCTCGTT